GACTTGCTGGGAGGGCTTCCTTCTCCAGGTCTGCCTCTGGCCCTGGTGACATCATCAAAGGGGCAGGAGCCAGTGTAGGATGTATCGAAGTAAGCCACAGCTTGGGACATGTGCATCCTGTGCGGGAGCCCCGGTTAGAGAAAGAGAGCTGCCCTCCTGTTGGCTCACTCCCCAGATGGCTGCAACAGTATTGTCTGAGCTAGGGTAAATCCAGACACCAGAAAGCCTACCCTGGTCTCCCATGTCAGTGGTAGGAGCCCTTCTTCTGCTGCCTTCCCAGGTACATGAGCAGGGAGCTGGAATGGAAGAGGAGCAGCCGAGACTCGAACCAGTGCTCTGTGATGCTGGTGTGGCCAGCAGTGGCTCAATCCAGTACCACAACAGCAGCCTCTAGGTGCCAGCTCCTGTCCACCTGCTCACAGGGCCTGGCACCGGACCTGACACATGGTGGACTTCGAGTAAATGGAGATCCTGTGAGTGCTTGGACTGGGCTCAGGGCTATGGGCACTTTCAGCATTTCTCAGATGAGGGGAATGTGGCTTGGACACCTCAGCAGCATGCACAAGGCCACCCAGCCCCAGCACATCCCCGAGCTCTGAAATCCCACCCCCCGCCAACTGCTTCTTCAGAACTCATACACACTGTAGACTCAGTGATCTTCCAGGACGTTCCCCTTCGTAGCAATCACATTCAAAGAGCTACCTGGAGCCCAGCACGATAGCCAAGTGTCTAAATCCTCACTTTACAAGTACCGGGATTCCCATATGGGTGCCGGTTTGTGTCCCAACTGCTCTACTTCCCGTCCAGCCCCCCGCTTGTGGCCTGGGAAAGCCGTAAAGAATGGTCCAAAGCCTTGGGACTCTGCACTCTGGTGAAGACTCAGAGGAAGCTCTCGGCTCCTCGCTTCAGATTGGCTCAGAGGTGGCCGCTGCAGCCACTTGGAGCTTGAACCAGTGGACAGAAGATCTTTCTCTGTAAATCTGTCTTTTCAATAAGATAAATATATAAAATCTTAAAAAAAAAAAAAAAAAAAGCTGGGCCCAGTGTGGTAACCTAGTGGCCAGGACCGCATGTGAGCTCTGGTTTGTGTCCCAGCTGCTCCACTTCCCTTCAAGCTCTCTGCTTGTGGCCTGGAAAAGCAATCAAGGAGGGCTCAAGGCTTTGGGACCCTATACCCACGGGGGAGACCTGGAAGAAGCTCCTGGCTCCTGGCTTCAGATCGGTGCAGCTCTGGCCGTTGCGGCCACTTGGGGAATGAACCAGCAGATGGAAGATCTTTCTCTCTGTCTCTTCTTCTCTCTGTAAATCTGACTTTCCAGTAAAAATAAATAAATCTTAAAAAAAAAATCACAGGAACAACAGCTGAATCTCACTCGTGCACCTGGGCTGCCAGCACCGCCCATGGACACAGGAGGTGTGTAAACCATGTCTGGAGGAGTAATTTGCTAATACAGCTTGGGCTCCATGCTTTGCTGCCTGCACCATATGGGGGTCGGTTACAACTGATGAAAGAAAGCCAAAGGATGTTTATTGTGGGACCCTTCCCTGAGCAGAATTTGAGGAGTCCCTAGGGCAGTGAGTCCTCTTGGAACCTGCTCCTGAAAGCAGGCAGGAACTGTCGCCCCTAGGAGCCAAAGCCACAGGAGTCACTTGAACCCCGTTTGGGGCTGAGCTGTGAGCTCCAGGACACAGACAGATGCAGCTATCTTGCCCAAGGAGTCCCTGGAAGGGAGACAGAGGCCGGGACAGGGCTCTGTCCATCGTGCTGAACTCACATTTCTTCTTTCCACTCTGCACCCCAACAACTTCAAAAGAGCTGGGCAGCCAGGTGGCGGTTCAGATCCCCTTTGCCCTTCTTTAGAGGGTATAATTTGGAGCCCTGAAATCTGGTTTGACCCAAACCCAGAAGCTCCTGTGAGTCTCCATAGCCAACTTGATCCTGGCCTGAATTTGAACACCCACTGCTATCATGAATCTGTACTGATGGAGATAGCCTGCTGTGTGTGCCCAGCCCTGAGCCAGACCCTGGGCAGCAGACAGCTGCATCTTGTAGGGTTTCTGCTCTGGGCAAGGGCAGAGGTAGGCAGGGATGGCGTTGGAGCAGCCCTTCTGTGGATGGGACCCACCTGCCAGGCACACACCTGGCCTTCCTCCTGCAAGGTGAGATAGTTGAGCACGGCAAACAGTGGCCACTGCCAGGAGAATCCAGGCTCAAGTCTTTGCTTGGGGTGTCACACCCCTGTGTGCAGAACAATGGGCATAACCTTTGCTCCTTCAGACCTGCGGGGCTCCAGACCTGGACCAGCTCCTCCTCACGCACGAACCTCCTGCCTCCTGCCACCCAACATGCCCTGATGGCTTGGTCTTCCCTCCCTGCACCCTGCAGCTGTGGGCTATCCCAGCTTCATCCTGTGCTGCATTTCCCACGCAGACTGGGCCGAGGTGGGAGCACCCACCTGCGGCCAGAACTGGCACCTGCTGCCCCTGTGTGGCATCTAACACCCACACCCACCCATTCACAGAGCAGGTGATCAGTAAGTTCCCATTAGAGGAGGAACTGGCAGAGAGGGGATTAGAAGAAATCCAGAGGAATGTACTCCTGGGTCACAGAGCAGCTGGGAAAAGTGCTCAGGACTGGGAGAGATCAGGGTGCGCTTCCCAGAGATCCAAGCACAAATGCCAATCAGGCAGGGCTGGCCTCCAGTCAAGGTTTGCTTCTCCTTGAGCCAGACGTGTGGGAAGGGCAGGAAGAGGAGCTGGGACAAGCACACTGGAGGGAGACAGATGTTTGGGCATGAATGTGGGGCATAAGGGAGGGGCAGGGAGGGGAGAGGGAGTAGGGCAGAGGCGGGGAGAGCTGGAGCTGGTGGAACAGAATAGCCATGGACCCTGGTTTATTCCATTCACTGTTACGGAGAAACATACACACGGAGGGAGTGGCATTGTCACTACCCCCCATGCCACAAGCAGCCCCAGTTTGCATTTCTCAGTTCATGCTTCCCCTCAGGCCCTTCTACGTGCTGAAGACACCAGGTCCTGTGTCGCACAGAACTGGCCCCATTACTGACACTGACGGTGGGACACTTGTGGTGGCTGGCACGCAGCACCTTCCTTCTGAGCCCTGTGACCTGGAACACACACCCAAAGGGACAAGCTGACTTCCTGGGGGGTGGGAGGACCGTGGTTTTCCTTTTTCATCATCTGGTTTCTCTTGGGGGTCACCCTAAGAGTAACCAGGGTGGGTGGCTGGCAACATGGCAAAGCTGGTTAAGGCTCTACCCACAGTGCCAGCATCCCTATAGGTACCCGTTTGAGTCCTGGTTTATCCAGCTACCTGCTTATACACCTGGGAGAGCAACAGAGGAGGGTGCAAGTGTTTGGACCCTGCATCCAAGTGGGAGACCCAGAAAAAGCTCCTGACTCTTGACTTCAAATCAGCTCAGCTCCAGTAATTGTGGCCATTTGGTGGGCCCGGCGCCGTGGCCTAGCGGCCATTTGGGAAATGAACCAGCAGGCAGAAGATCTACCTTACTGTAAATCTGCCTTTCCAACAAAACTGATGAATCTTTTAAATAAGAAAAAAGAAAAAGAAAAAAGAAACTGTCTCCCGGCCCTAGACCTTAGATCTTTGTGCGCGTGAGTGGAGCTGGGAAACAGGGAAGGAGGAGGCCTTCAGATGCAACGAGGGGTCTGCAGGTTCTTGTGAAGGTCCCAACCCTGCCAGGCTGGGCTCCCATTCCTGTCACACTCTGTCCCCAAGTGAGGTGGCCGAGGGGCAGCTGTGTGCCTGAGGGCACCCCAAGGGCCGAGTCAAGGTGGTTCGATTTGCCCCTCTGCTTCCTGCCCCTGCCTCTGAAGCCCAGATGAGTCCCCCAAGTACTGGTCCAGGATGGCATCCTGGCCTCCCATGCAGATCCACGAAGGGTTAACCTAGCTCCCTCCCTTAAGCATCGCCTTTCAGAAGCATCTGCCTTGGCTCCCCCCTCCCCACCCCAGCTATTCTGGGACAATGGAGGCAGCAGATGGCCGAGGCTTGTTCCCTCCACCCGACCCTCAGGATCTCTTTCGGGAACAACCCAAAAATCTGCCAGCCGCTTCCCAAAGCAGGCACAGGCTACTGGGGTTGCGGGGAGGAAGGGCAGCGCACCCCAGTTTATATGGGAACTGCAGGGATGGGGTAGTGTGGGGTGGGGTGGGGTGGGGTGGGGGCTGCCCAGCCAGGGATGGCCTCACGGCAGCCTGGAAAACACAGCGTCTTCAGGGGGACTGAGCAGCTGGGCTCTGCACCTGACTCACTGAGTGGCCACAGGTGTGCGTGGACCCTCTCTGGACTGTAGACTCCAGCTTGGCACCCAGGGTTGGGCTCTAGTATACAGCATATCCAACACAGATATGGATGAAGGATGTGGGAGGCTAAAGCCAAAAGGAACCCCCACCATCTCCATCCCTCAGGGTCCCTCCTCCTTTCTCCTACAATACGCAGTACCTGCAGCCTGTGAGGCAAGGGTAGTGAGAGACCCTCCCAATATTCCATCATCTCACCCCTGCGGGACCCCAAGGCCTGAGGGTCCCACTTAATCCTGCACCTGCCTTGGCTGTTGAATCGCCCTCAGCCCCTGAGACCCTCCACCTCCCCTGACGCTCCACGCACTCCAATCCAGGCCTGTGGGGGGACAGACACGACAGGGAGAGGCTCCCAGTGCCAGTGGCTCATGGCGCACACTCTCTCACACGTGCAGGCAATCACATATACAAACGCGTGACACACACACACACACATCCTTATGCTCAGACATGTGCTGATGGGTGCACCACGCACACATGCTCACGCACACTCACAGCCACTGTTGGTTGAGCGGTCCCTTCTGTGCCAGGCACCAGGCTGTACCACTTCCAAACCTGCCATTCCAGCAACCTCAAGTGGCCACCATCACTTCTGAGACACTGACGTCACAGACCCTGCCCTAGCCAGGAACGCAGCAGAAAACTGACCCCAACCATACTTGAACAAATCAGGATTTAATTTTCTTTGCAGAATCTGATGGTAGAGGGGACAGCAGCACATGACTGTCTTGGTCTTTCCTTCACTGTAACAAGATGGCTGACTCTGATCCAGCCATCATGCACACACACTTGCAGTAAGCAGACAGGGTCTGGGGCTACAAAACCTTTCCCCCCAAAACCTCCCCACGGGCTTTGCTTTTTTCCTGAGGACTAGAGCTAGGTTGCATGGCAGCCTCCAACATCTAGGGAGGCTAGGAAAGCGAATGAGAGGACCATCCCCATGGGCAAGTCCCATGAGGACCCCTCACCTGGGGGTGGGCATGCTCCCAAACATCAGGGAGCTCTGAGCGCCTCAGACCTAGCCCCCCACGGCTGTGACTCCTCCTGGGTGTTCTCTGTGATTGAATATGGCCAAGGGATCCACTCAGAGCCCCACATCACCAAATGAAGGGGCACACTCCTAAGCCCAGCTGCAGAGACCCTGACCTTGTCAATTCAGGCATCCAGGGCCCTCGTGAGCAAGCTCCAGAGTCTCTCTTGTCTTCAGCTGGTCCCTTGGTTCCGGGCTTGCCACCCAGAGGCCCTGCTACAGACAGCTTCCTCCCTCAGGGTCCTTGTGTGCAGTGGGAGGTAAGCGCCAGTCAGAAGGTTAGGCCAGCTCAGCCCATCCTAGCCCAGCCTAGCCTAGCCTAGCCCAGCCCAGCTCAGCTCAGCCCAGCTCAGTCCAGCCCAACCTAGCCTAACCTAGCCCAGACCCGCCTGGCGGTTCAGGATTCACGGGACAGTCAACTGCGGACACCAGGGTGTCTCTGGGTACAGGAGGCAGTGCAGAGAGCGAAACCTGCAAAGAGAGCAGAAATGGACAAGGCAGTCACTGTCACCTCAGGTCACTGTCGCCTCGGCCCTGGTCCCACCTCATGAAATGTTGGGCAGCATCCCCACCCTCATAAGGAGCAAAAATGGCTTTGGATGTCGCCAATTATCCCTGGTTGAGAGACCCTAGAAAGCCAGAGCTGCCATGGTGAGTTCGGGCAAATCTGGGCCAGACCATCAGACCACATGCAGATCTGGGCCTCCACTCCACCCTGGGCCTGTGAGACTTTCAGGAAACCTCTACCACTTCCCAATGTCCTTAGGAAATAGAGCCCAGGCTTACCCACTTCCCTCTGCAAAATAGCTCACCCCCAAAGACGATAGCTCTGTTCATCCCAGCATTTAAATTTGATTTACTGTTTTGAACCAAACTCTGAGTCTATGTGCCATCCATGTAACATCCAGAGAGCCAGCCACCTCCCTAGCTCAATATGGCACTGCATTCTGGCTTCAACCTGGTCCCTGCCCCTGGACCTTAACAGGTGCTGTCCCCACTGCCTGCAGTCCATCTGTCTCCCCTAGATCACTGCTATTCCTCCCTCCATCCATGTCACATCCTCCGAGAAACCCTCCTGGCCGTCCTCACTCCCAGTCAACATTAGATACCTGCAGCAACAGCCCTCACTCATACACTGCCCTCCTCCCCAGCACAGACAGCATCTGCAACCCTGAGTCCCTGGGACTCCCTCCCCACTTCCTCACCCATCCCCTGGCTCTCCTGCCATAGTCGAGCCTATCTATGACAGGAATGGAAGGCAGAAAGGGGGAGGAGCTGCCTAGGCAGAAGGCCAGCGCCAGGAGGCACAGATGAGGAGAAGGGGCAACACCGAGCCCACTGCCCACAGAGGGGTACATGGCCCAGAGGAAGAGCTTCCTACAGCCAGTGGCATGCAAGCTGAAGCCAGCTGTTGCCTGGCAGAGGTGCAGGGGATGGGGCTGCACCACTGGGTCTCCCACGCCCATGAGCCTCCTCCATAAACCCAGGAGCATGGGCCCCCAGAGGTCAGCGGGGAGTACTGGGAGAGCCTGTTGTGGGCCAGGCTAGAAGGTGCCAGACAGTCCTCCCCGTGCCTGGAAAAGGGAGAACCCAAAGAGAAGCGGATGAAATCTCCACTCCCCCATTCCGCAGTTGCCTGGGCCTACACTGACAGAATCTAACCCACCCCATGCTCAGGGAAGATTTTTCTGGCTGCTGGGGTCTCCTAAAGGGTCCCAAATAGGAAGATAGAGGCTCGGATGTGGCAAGGCACCTCCTTGAAGTCACACAGCTGAGCCAGGGACAGAGAAGGGACTGAAATCCATCCTAGCTGTGTGAGCCAGTCACCAGGGCCCATCCACCCTTCTCCCTGCCCAGTTCTCTCGTCTTGGGTGGCCTGCACTAGAGCCCCACCCCTTCCACCCTGCCCCCAGGCTCACCTGGACGGATCCTCCTCCGGGGAGAAGGGGCCCTGTAGCTTAATGACATTGAGCTTCCCCTCAAAGACGCCATAGCTGAGGGTGACCTGGGCAGAGAGGCACAGAGCAATGAGTAGCAGCGGTGTCTTCCTGAGGACCCCCCGCTCCAATACAGTGGTAAAGAAGCCACACTGGACCATGGCGAGGCAGAAAACCTGCCTAGGCACCTGCAATTCTACCACAGGTGGCAGGCGCTTCACAGGGGACCCTGTCACGCCCACAGGGGCTTGACAGTGAAGGGCATGGACACTTCCACGTCCCACTGGCTGCCGTGACCTCTCAGTTCACCAAGGAGGCTACATGCTCGCACTCATCCTGCAAACTTTTAAAACTTTCAGGGGAAAGCTGAACTAGAACTGGGGCTTTTCCAAGATTCACTGGGGAGCCCACAGGGCACCCCACACCAGGATCTCCACTGCCCTAGGCAATGAGGTCATGGATAAGGTCAGCTGAAAGGTGGCTGAGCACAGGAGACCGTGGGTTCAGAGAACAAAGGGTTATCCTGCCACCGGCATGCCACCAACATCCCTTAGGAATGCTAGTTTGAGTCTTGCCTGTTTCACTTCTGATCCAACTCCTTGCCAGTGTGCCTGGAAAAGCAACAGAGGATGGCCCAAGCCCTGTACCCGTGGGGGAGACCCAGATGCAGTTCTAGGCTCCTGGCTTCAGTATGGTCCAGCCCTGGCCATCCGCAGCTACTAAGGGAGTAACCATTGGATGTCAAGACTCTCCCTCTCTCTTTCATTCCCCTCTCTTCATAGCAACTGTGTGCTCAAGGATCAGTTGTCCGGTCTGTAGAATGGGGACAGTGTTAGCCCTCAGCACCCACATTGCAGCATCCATGGATTTAATCAACTGGAAGTCAAACCCAACTGGAAAAAAACAGTGTCAAGTACCGAATACATGCAAACTTCAGCCTGGACTCTATCAGTGCAACAACTACGAACACAGCAATGACCTTGTACCAGGTCTACTAAGTGATCAAGACACGACCAAGCACAGGCAAAGAAGTGGGCCAGGTCTCTGCAGACACAGGTTGGTATCAGAGACCTGGGCACGGGGGACTCCAGTAGCCCCAAGTCAGTCTTGTATAAGCTAGAACATTCTAGAATGCAGCTGTCCAGCGTGGTTCCTGGCACAACGGGGGCTCTGGAAACCCTAGCTGCCTGGATGACCAGCTTTGGGAGCTGCCTAGGGACCAGCTGCCTAGGGAGCTGCTGTCACCTGTACCCCCAAATGGTCTGACAGAGGACCCCAGGAGGCCTTCCCAGCTGAAGGGCAGAGGCTGCCCTGCCAGGAGATGGGACAAGGTCACCATGACGCCTGAATGCCGCTCAGGAAACTCAGACTCCCTTGGGCCACCATAGCTGGGCTACAAGGAAAAGGAACACAGCAGACTGGGGTGGTGGCAGGGGGTGGGCACAATGGAGGGGCTTTAAGCAAGGTGACCCCACGAAGGGCCAGGCCAGGCTGGGAGAGGGACATGGAGGAAGAGAGACAGGGGTGGGAGGGCAAGGCCAGTGGACAGTTGAAGACGAGTTCTATCTCATCCGGATGGCATGCAGGAAATACACAGTCCTCTGATGCCAAGCCACGAGGTGGGGGATGAGGGGCCAGCAGGCAGAGGGCTGAGTGGCTCTGCGTCCCTGCCAGAGGCTTCAGATAACCAAGGGAGGCCTCAGTTTCCCTGTCCACAGGGTCTAGCCAGGCCCCATCACCTAGAGCCCCAGGTTGAGAGTAAATGCCAAGAGGGAAAGCAGAGGAGCCCCACGTTCCCTGAGCAGTACAGGGCAATGGAACAGGGGCACCTCCCCTCCCCCACTGCCATTGACCCAAACGCTGCTGGCTCACCTGTTTTGGGAGCTGCGTAGCCCCCAGCAGCTGCAGGGTCTCCAGGTGAGAGTGGAAGAGGGGGCTGGGCTGCAGGCGGACACCCAGCTTGCACTCAATGATGTAGCCCACCGTGCAGTCGTCGGGCAGCCGGATGAGAGCTGATGTGTCCACGAAGCGAGAGCCACTGGGGGACAGAGCAGTACAGTAGCCCTCGGCCCCAGCCAGGGCCAGCTGCCTCACAGAGGACCCTCCAGGAAGGGAGAGGCAGGTGGCTGACAGAGCCCAGCTCACCCCATCTCTGTTCCTGCCAACTCTAGCCCTCAGAGTAGTTATGGACCTGGGAAGGGGAAGCCTCAGTCTGCTCTTCCATGAAATGGGATAATAATGGTGATGCTTTTCCTCGGATGCCCAGCCCAGGGGCAGAGGGGAAACTTTTTCCTAAGATACAGGAAGGTGAGACAAAGCTGGGCAGGGCCGTGACATAGCGGGAAACCCTGGCTGTGCATGTGCACCGGCTGCAGGTCTGGGCCATGACAACGTGCCCCCACCACTGCAGTGTGAGCCCTGTCACCACCCCCCTCCAGGATCCCTCCCACCCAGGGCAGGGCAGAGCAGGGCAGGTGGGGGAGTGAGGGCGAAGGCAAAGCTCACAGGTGCTAAAGCTGACTCCAGCCACTGCATGATGTTGGAATTGCTTAACCCCTTAATTTCCTCGGTTCCTTCTCTCACCCTTGGGAGTTGTGAGACGCCCCCCAGTGAAGAAGGGCCGGGCTCGAAGTCAACCTTAAGGTCCAGGCAGTGGGTGTTTCTACTGAAAACAACAGCAGCCTGCCCAGGGAGGCTCCAAAAGCGCGGCCCCTGCATTTCCCAAACATTGTAACCCCCAACACTGAAGGCTCTGCCCCCACCCCTTTTAACCCTACTCATCTAGAAACTTCTAGGGTTGTCTCAGCTCCAATACCACCTCTTCCAGGAAGCCTTCCCTCCTGTCCCCCAACTAGGAGGCCTTCTCCTGTCCTCTGTATGCCCCTGCACTTGGCCTTTATCTCCCCTGTGGCACTGACCATTCAGAAGACAGCTATAAATGGGGCCCAACGTGGGCCTGGCACCATAGCCTAGTGGCTAAATCCTTGCCTTGCACCTGCCGGGATTCCCACAGAGGCTCCAGTTCATGTCCCAGTTGCTGCACTTCCCAATCAGCTCCCTGCTGGTGGACTGGGAAAGCAGTAGAAGATGACCCAAAGCCTTGGGACTCTGCACCCACATGGGAGACTCAGAAAAGTATCCTGGCTCCTGGCTTCCGACTGGCTCAGCTCAGGCCATTGCAGCCTCTTAGTGAGTGAACCAGCAGATGAAAGATCTTTCTCTGTATCTCCTTCTCTCTGTATATGCACCTTTCCAATAAAAAATAATAAAACATATCTTTAAAAAATGGGACCCAACACTTCCTGGGCTCCCACCAGGGGCCAATCCAGACATTTCCTTGGTGGACCCATACAACTGCACAGACTGAGGTTTCAGAGGTGACATATAGGCCCATGCACAGCCCCCCACCCCCAGGGCAGGTGGCAGGTGGCGGTGGCATGCTCCCCACCAGCTGTGCCACAGCTGAGTAAGAGTGGATCTCTTTGAGCTCATTGTTACATATTCCCACCCCTCTCCCAGTATCCCACACACCAACCCTGCTGCCCACCCCGGGGTGATCTCTGCTTACCCGGCCCACGGGGTCATCTTCAAAACCAATCTACGGTTGATGCAGAAGCCAGCGCCACCAGTGGCGAACCAGAACTGGACCAGCCTCTGCACAGAGGAGGGCCAAGGAGAGGTTGAGCCCAGGGTGGGGAGATCGGGGACACCCAGGCCACCCGTTTCCTCCCCCGCAAGCCAGCATGGCTTGATTTCACACCTTTCTTGAGTTTAGCTCCAGCCTGGTACCCATTCTAGGGTCCAGAAGGGTGAGGTCTCTGATCAGTCCCAGACTCTTGGATTCTGGCAAAGGGAACATGTGGCATCCTATTCCCTCAGCCCTGAGAAGTATCTCTGGCTCACTCCAGCAGAGCTGAGGGGCAGCCAACACAGCCCCTACTCCTCTGAGTTCAGAGGCAAGGCAAGTGCCTGGGAAATGAGAGATCACAAGGCCACACCCCTTGATCCAGTGATTGGCCCAGCCATAAGCTCAAGATTCAGGCCAGCCAATCAGAGTCCTTCCCTGAGCAACAGCAAGGAGCAGGTGTTCTCTCCAAGGATCACCCAACTGTAAATGCTGTAGTCCTTAGGCCACCTCCACCAGGCTACCACCACCAGTTTCCCCACCGCCATCTTCTGGGACTAAGACAGCTGTCCCACCAAAGGAGAGGAGGGGGTCTTTCCTAGAGCAAAGAGAAGACAGACATGTCTGGGACCCCTTGGCATCTCCATCACAGGAATGATACCATTCTGGGCTTTCTGCCCCACCCACCATCGCAGCAGCCCAGGCCACTCCCACCTCCACAGTGAGGAGCCGTGAATCCACCTAACCATTTCTCCGAGGCTGCTGGGAAACCAGCACCTTCCTACAAGCTGCCCATCCCTTAATCCAACAAGTCCCCCAGGATTAAGTTCCCCCAAGCATACAGCTGGTACCAAATGGATGCATATTGCATCATGAGTCTGAGCTCTCTGCCACAGTGCAGAGCCAGCCCTGGGGGTGCCACGTGCTCCACTGCACCACTGTGGGCCTCGGAGGAAGCCTTGTCTCTGCCTCAGAGCCACCACCTGTGAGTACATTGCTGCACTCTCTAAGATACCTGTCTAGGTCTGTCGCAAACCCGACCCTTTCCAAGGACTTGTAAAAGACTTCATTGCATCCTTTCTACCAGGCTCTCAGCCACCCTATCAGTAGGGCCTGGGATCACCTATTTTACAGATAAGCAAACTGAGGCACAGACCAGGTGACTTGGGCAAAAGTTACAAAGCCAGGGAGCCAGGTTCCCAAATGGAGCTCTCAACCCCTATAGCAAAGTGTTAAGGCCAGCTGCATGGCCGGGGTGTCGCCAGCTCACCCGGCCCAGCTCACAAGGGTTTAATTAGCGTTCACAAACAGCCGAGGAGCTTGCCGGTAATTAAGGCGGCATGCTTTCTGCTCCAGGTTTCTCTAGTGAAGCAGATGGCGAGCCGGGCAGGGGGAGCAAGCCCCACAGTGTGCCCGGTGCCCTCTCAGGTACTGCCTACAGAGGAATCACCTTCTCACCTGCCTTTTCCCTGGGGCCAGAGGAAGCCCAGGGCCCTGGGCCACTACCCCCATGCCACCTGACGTCTGGTGAGTCCTGGGAACAGACGGAGACCTATTTAGGACATACCTACACTAAATATTGCTGCACTGTTTACCTGGGGAAAATGTAACTAACTTTCTGTTCATCTGTTTTCTAAATGTGGCAACTTTAATCAGTGCCCAGCGGGGTGTGGAGTTGAATCCAGGGTTGGGCTCTGTGCTGCAGCAGGTGCCAGCCAGGGGAGAGGAGCATGACCTCTGGGGGAGGAGGGACAAAGCCGGGTTGTTCTGAGGCTCAGAGTTGCTCAAGGTATCAGCTGGCCCAGCTCATGGCCAGGTCACTAGTGCACTGCGAGGCAATACTGAGGCCCTCGTGTGTGTCCATCTCTGGGCTTCCTCGCCCAGGTTATTTCAGCGTCTCCTTTGCACAGTAAGGGCAGATGGAGGGCAAAGATGCACAGAACCTATCCCTGCCCCTGCACCACCCATCACCACACCACACCATGTCACATCACACCCCATGCCTGCAGCCAATGAGTGAAGGAGGCAGGCGGGCACCCACCGAGCGGTTGTGCGGCTGCGGCTCGGAGGCGCGGATGGGCCGGTTGAGGCTGGGCCGTCCCACATAGACATCACGGGTCTGCGGGAAAGTGCTCAGCAGCCGCAGCAGTGCCCTTGGGTTGACATAGTTGTCGTCATCCACGTGGCAGAACCACCTGTGGGGATGGGGGAGGATACCAGTGAGTCAGGGGCAGGGCACATTTAGCCCAATCCTCACACGGGGCCGAGGCCACACCTCCTCCACCCCACCCCCTGCAGACCCAGGAAAGGCACCTGCGACTACTGGCCACAAAGGCGTCCAGCTCAGCAGCCATCTTGCAGGACAGGGCTGGGTGGCTGTGCTCGGCGGAGCAGTTGGTGACCACAAGGTGGGAGCCTGGACAAATGAAGAGTGGTCAGGGGTCTGCCCAGCTCCTCCCCGCAGCCCTAAACCTGGGCAGGTGCTGGGTGTAGACAGCACACATGGGCCCATCACTCCCATTTCCCACCAGGCAAGATGGAGGCCCAGAGAGGACAGACATGCCCAGGAACACAGCTCTGAGCTGGAGCCAGGTCCGTCCACACGAACTTTCCCGGGGAGCGGATGCTGCCCCTCCAAGTCAGGACAGCTGTATTTCCTAGGAACCCCCAGGCTAGGGCAGAGCCACCCCAACCCTCCCTGGGGAAATGCCAAGGGGTTCCCACCCAAGCCAGGGGTCCCAAGTTACCCAGTCTCTCCCGGAGGCCTTCATCTGGACTGTCGGTGAAGACAAATGTCTGGGAAGGAGAAGGAGAGGTCAAGGGCAGCCCCAGGTCAATGCACAGCCCACCCTGACCAAGCCCCAGGCAGGCCACCTGTACAGGTGGACACATACTGTCACCTGCTGACCTCCGGGGACAGACATACACACACCTCTCCTGGCCATCGGCTCCTTGAGGACATACACACACAACCTCACGTTCAGGATGTGCACCTGCCCAGCCTCACACATGCATCACCTTCTTCACAGAGCACCCATGGCAGAGCCACACCCTCTTCTAGCCGACACAAGATCATAGGTGCCCTTAGCCTCTCCAGGATCACTGAACGAAGCTCCACCCACCACTAGGCTGAGGCTCCACCCACCACTAGGCTGAGGCTCCACCCACCACCAGGCTGAGGCTCCACCCACCACTGGGACCTGTCCTCACCCACATCTGGCTCATGGCCCCACTTAAGCAGCACACAGCGTTTGTGGCCACACAAACCCTGGACAATACCCATGCCCAAAGCATCTCAGCCCAGACCAGACACACAGCCCCCAGCAGGTGCTTTTACACACCTGCTTCCCAACAGCCCTAGTGGGATGGGAGGCATGATACGTCCCCTTGATGGATGACAAAAGTGAGGCAAAGGGTTCAGCTCGGTAGCCTAGTGGCTAAAGGCCTAGCCTTGCACATGCCAGGTGGGTGCTGGTTCATGTTCTGGCAGACCCTGCTTCCCATCCAGCTCCCTATTTTTGTTCCAGGAAAGTAGTCAAGGATGGCTCAAAACCTTGGGACCCTGCACCCATGTGGGAGACCCAGAAGAGGATCCTGGCTCCTGGCTTTGGATCAGCACAGCTCTGCCATTACAGCCACTTTGAGGAGTGAATCAATGGATAGAATATTTTCCTGTCTTATTCTCCTTCTCTCTGTATATATCTGCCTCTCCAATATAAATAAATATTAAAAATAATAATAATAAAAGTGAGGCAACGTCACAGACCAAGGTCCCAAAGTCAGCAAGTACAGGACTGGATTCCACTCTCGGACTGTGGCCATTCACTCTGCACACCAAGGGAGGGGAGCGTCTAGCCACCGAAGGCTTAGGACATCACAAGGGCTGCTTTTGCAAAGGCCTCTGGTCCACTAGGTGAGCTTCCCTGACCCTGAAGTGGCTCCACCCAGAATCTGGGACAGCTATGGGCCTCATCTAACTGATGCCCAAAGGAAAGCATCTCACGGATTCAAAGCTCCTCAGCTTGAGCTATTCACACACACACACACACACACACACACACACACACAATGTGGCTGGTCCCCATCCTTCCTCCCAGCTCAGAGCTTCCAGGTGCAGTGTCCCAATCTGCTCAACCAGAAATGGGTCATTCAGGTCAGAACAGTCCCCCATTCATGAGCCTCAGCCCACCCATCTGTAAAATAGGGGTTCTTGGTCACCATGGGAGTCAGATTATGTGGATGATGCAGCCAGGGACACTCAGGAGAGGGGACCCAGAGGCCAGGAGCCAGGTCTGGGCACTGCAAGTGGCAGAGAGAGCTGGGACCGTTTCCCAAGGCTCATGGTCCTGGCCCATCTCAGCAGGTGTTTGCTGGAGTCAGCCTTTTTCTCTCAATCCGTCTGCCTGTCCAGACCGGAAGCAGAGGCCTCAGAGATCACCCCACTGCCCCAGATGTACAGTGCGTGGCTCCCTCCTGCCCCACCTCCTCAGCTGACAGAAGGTACAACCTGTCTCATTGCCTCCTGCCCCTCCTGGGCTGCCCTAAGCCCACAGTTCTTTCAGTACAGCAAACATGCCACATTCACACCCCTCACTGTGCCTCCTCCCAGCCTCCAATTCGCACTCAATGCAGGTATCACCTCTTCCAGGAAGCCTCCCCTAGTACCCCTTCCACTACATCAGGGGCCTCTCCCACACGGTCCTCAGCCCCCGTCCTTCCGGTGGTTCCAGCAACCATAGGGTTTGAAAACTGACTCTGCCCACCCCATGTCTTCCACCAGGTGACAGCAGCTTGGAGGCCACAGGCCTGGTCCCATCCATCTCCTTGCCCTGCTCAGGGAGACCAAAGCAGGATCTGCCTGCTGAGCCCTTGGCTGCTCCAAGCATCACCTGTAACTCAGGGTGCTGGCCCAGCGTCTTTGCCTCCGCCACACTCACTCCTTCAGCCACGCTACCTACAGGAAGCTGGCCACTCACCTGTGCACCTGCCCTGCCTTCCCCACCCCTCCTTGCTCTGAGCTGCTAAATGCTCAGCAGCCGTGACCCCACGTTCTCAGCCCCCTCCCTGTCCAGCCAAATCCAAGTACCCGAGATCCATCCACTTGCTCCATCCATGGCCAACCTGGGCCTGCCTCCTTATCATTTGGTTGCAAGTGCCTCTTTCCTGGCCTCCTGCTCTGACCCACCCCACCACAGCTCTGCCCCCAGTCAGTCTGAATTCAACACAGCCCTCAAACAGCCTCTCTTGGGATGGGAACCTGAGCCAAACGGGTTCAGGAACATCTGCAGATGAGGAACCAGGAAAGCTGAATAAATGGAAGGACAGGGAAGTCAAGGGGGGACCACCTGGGGGCAGGGCTAGCGATTCCAGGCCCAGTAAATGCCAAGGTTGGCATACAGCACTAAGCAAAATGCCAGCAGAACCTTGAGGACTGCACTGGGGTTGTGTCAGGGCAGGGGTGGGGGCGGGGACCCTGGTGCAAACAAAGGCACCAGCAGCCTGCTAGAGAAAGGAGGGGTGCCGGGGACCATCTGTGCAGAGGAAGGGCTGTGAGGCCACCCCCCTTCCCCACCCACCCAACAGAGAGAAAAGGCGCCCCCTGGGCACAAAACACACAGAACACACCCCCTCTCCCGCCCACCCCTCTACCAGGCACAAAGGCTGCACGGGAGTCCTGGCCGCTGCCCCGCTGCAGGCCCACCTGCCACCCCACACACACACACTCACTAGCAGGGAGCAGTCCCTAGTTAACCAGCCCAGCCCACTTGCTCCCTGACCTGGGCAGATGGAGAAAAGCAAGGGCCGAAACAGGAAGGTCTGAGGGCACAGAGCAAGGAGCCCAAATTGCTGGGTGAGGAGTCTTCCTATATGTCCACCCCTCCCACCTACCAGCCCCCTTCCTTCCTTCCACTTCTAGACACAGCCCCTTGCTGGGGAGCCCAGTGGAGGCTCCAGCCTGGGAAATGGGAACCAGCAACAGCCACATGCACACGTCGGGTTTGTGACAAGAGCTGAACCCCAGAGAGAAACATGTTTGATAGCAGCCTTTGCCCGCCAACCAGCAGCTGCCCAATCAGCCTCTGTCCCTGAGCTCAGGACCCATCAGGGCATGCCTGCTGGCCTCTCTTGGTCAGCCTGACAACACCCAGCTGCCCAGACAAGAGGCCTAAGAACATTTCTGGGCACTGGTGACCCCGGGGGCAGGGAAGAATTAGGCTCTGCCACCACCCTGGCCTGGAACAGTGTGTGTCCACCCTCCAGGCCTCAGTTTCCCCATCCAGAACAAGGGTACCCCACCATCACCACTGCAATCAAAGCACAACAGGAAAGGGCCAGCGGCCACGTGAGACCATCTCCCGCCGCGTGTGCAGACACGGCGCCATAAACAGGAAGCCTGTGGGGAAGGCCCGCCCGGGCAGTTTCCGCGGCAGGAGTTGGGGGTGGGCAGTGGGTAGGATCTCTCCAAGATGAGAAGCTGTGTGAGGCCCAGAGGGTTGGGGGCCTAGCTTGGAGAGGATCCTTCCTGGGTGTCAACCTCTTCCCTTGGGGAGGGGAACCCTTCCAGGCATCACTTCCACACACCCCAGGACTCGGTGACTTCCTCCCCAGCAGTTAGCTGCCCAAGTGGGGGCAGAAGTGGGCTGGAGGCCTGTGTGCCACTCCCATGGAGATAGGCCCCAACACCCCCAAAGCGCTGACTCTTTAGGGAGGCTCGGGGTGGGGGCTGCAGGCCAGAAAGGGGGAAGGACTAGAAGAGGCTGGGCTCCTGGATGACAGAAGCTGGGCACTCGTGTCCCTGCCGTGGGCCTCCTACAGTGACCCCCACCTGACACACATGTGCACACACACAGAGCCGCCAGGCCCAGCAGGTTCCACCCCAACCTCCCACAGCCCCCTGGCTCCCTCCCTCAGCCCCTGAGGAAGTGAGTAGAGGAAGCAAGATGCCAGTCCCCTTGGCACGCCCTGGTAGCAGCGTTCTGCAGCTGGGCCGGTTAGGAAACCCAAGGGGATGTGTTCCTTATCCCCTCAGCAGGCCCCACCTCACTCTATGGGCAGGGACAGCTTGGCCCTGAGAGCACATTCGAGGCAGAGCCTGGCTGGGGCCTCCACCCCAGTTGTCCAGTAGCCACCATTGCCCCCTCCACCCTCTGCCGAACTGGAAGCAAAGGGATCCCCACTGTACCGGCCAGGGAAGACAGGGACCCCAGGAGGGAGCTAAAAGCCCGTGACTGGGATCCGGCCTGAGTCGCAAAAGAGAGAGGAGACAGAGCTGCCTTGATGTGTTCCTGACGTGAGCAGATTTGAGCTCCGGTTGCACCAGCAAAGGGTACAGCAGCCGGGGACCCCAGCCCCGAAGAGCGAGAAGAGCGAGCTCTGTGAATCCCAACAGCCAGAGACCACTCCCAGAGCTGCCCGTCTTTCACCTGTTGCCTGGTCCTGGAGACCCACGTGTCCAGCAGTAGCTCCAGGCGTGAGCGATGGAAGGCCTGGGTAGTCTTCACTGCGATGAACACATCACGCAGCTGAAGATCAGAGGTTCCAGAGCTTGGTGCGCTCAGCCTGAGGGTCTCCCGTCCCTCCTGAGGAGACAGATCAGAGCGGTACCGCAGGGTCAGGAGCCACGTACCCAGGAGAGTGAGGAGAGCTCCCACCAGGCCCCGGAGGAGCCGGCACTGCATGAAAGTGCCCCCAGAAAGTTCAGCTCCCCAAGCCCCACAACGGGAGCAGGAGGAAAGGCTGGTCAGGAGGGGGTCCCGGCAGAGGCCAAAACCTGGCAGGCATCGGGGACATCGGGGGCAGGCATTGGGCTGCCCAGGAGCCAGAACCGCGGCTGCCCAGGCTGAGCCATTGCAGCCGGCCGGCGGCGCACCACCTGCTCCCGCAGCCGCCAGCCTGCCCCACTGCCGGCTTGGGGGCGGCTGGCCCCGCCCCGGGCCTCAGCCCAAGGGGCGTGGCCAAACCAAAGGCGCTACAGAGGTGGCAGAAGGGGAGGCACCTGCTGAAAGGGCATTAGTGACAACAAACCCGGATGGGAGAGTCCCACCAGCCTGCCCCTCTGCCCCCTGCCCCTGGCCAGTGACCTGTCAGCTCAGCTCATACCACAGCGTGTTCTCAGCTTGCACTCATTCCTCTTCCTCCAGGATGCCCTTCCAGTCTCCTGTCATCCTCCCCACCTTCCCTCCACCAGACTGAACTTCCAGGCTTAGTTCATGGGTCCCTTCCTCCAAGAACCTTCCCTGATAGTGTCTGTCTGTCAACCTCTAGGGTTCCCACGGTAGTTTGCTCAGGTCATGCCTGGGTTACAACTGAGGTTGTGGGCCCAGGGACAGAGGGTGACCTCAAATGGTCCAGCTACTTAGATCCAGCCAGGTCCTCATCTGACCCACAGGCATCTCAGAGGCACCTGTCCAGCTGTAGCCTCCTCCATGCCCCCATCTTGCTGGGCAGCCTATAGAGCTGCCCTGCTCCCAGCCCAGTGGCCAGGCTTGGCCCTATTTTGCACAGTCAGTCACATTGCTCCCTCTCTGCTCAAAGCCCATCCTGGCTGCCATTTCCATCTGAAGGTAAGCCAGGAGTTGGCAGGTGCAGCTAGTTAACCCACCACCTGCGATGCCAGCATCCCATATAGAACACTGGCTTTTGTCCTGGCTGCTCCACTTCCAATCCAGCCCCTTGCTAACGTATCTGGGAAAGCAGTGGAGTATAGTCCAAGTTCCTGACCCACGTACAAGACCTGGAAGAAGCTCGGGGCTCCTGGCTCCAGCCGGGCCCAGTCCCAGCTATAGTGGCCATTTGGAGTGAGCCAGCAGATGGCGAGAAGACCCCAGTTGCCTCTGCTGCATACCCTTGTTCCCTCCACTCCAGACCACGGCGAGCTTCCAGCTGTTCCAGGCACCTGCTGTTCCCGCTTGGGCACCTGTTCTCTTATTTCTACACGTCACTCCTTTGCATCCTTTACACAGATGTCACCTGCTCCGTAAGATCCCCCCCCCCCGCCCAGCATCCTGTGCGTGTTATGTGTGTATTGTCTGTCTGCTTCCTGAGAGGCACAGAAGGGATCTGTCCTTTTTTCATTATAGAATACCAATGCCCAGGGCCCAGCACAGTGCCTGGCAGTTAGCAGCAGTAAACATTTGTTCATCAAACACAAGCAAGTGCAAAATGGCTGGTGGACTGGACAGCCCAGCTCTGCAGTGGGCAGCAAAGAGGAACCCCACTGCCAGAGTGTTACCCAGCTGTGGCAATCACAGGCTCTGTCCCATACACTGGGGTTCAGATCCTGCCCAGGCCCCTCCTGGCTGGCTGGCTGGCTCCAGGCAGGTCACTTTCCTAGTAAAATGGGGACCAAGCCATGCCTTGGGGACTCTTACAGGAGGGGCGAGTTTCCCCACCCACAAGACATGTCAGGAGCTGATTGCAACACCAGGCAAGCAATGCAGCAGATTCCTCGGCCAGGATGGCCTGCCTTGGTTGCTGAGCTAACCCTAAATCAGGCAGCATATGAGGCATCCTCAGGGACCGTTGCAGCCCACAGGATACAGCCTGTCCTGTACATCAACACCCATTTCCTACCACTCCCCACCAAGGCGGCCACACCACACCTATAGTCTCCAAGCTTCTGCTCCTGGGCACCCCGGTCCACGGAGTATGCCCCCACTCTCACACCACAGCCTACTGGAGTTTCCCACAGTGGTGGATGACAGCTGGCAGGGCACAGACACACAGGCCCCACAGTCACCTCCTCTTGTCAGGCTGCCTGGATTGCTCCCACCACAGGCAGCCGTCCTTTGGGAGGTGGGGGTGGGGATGCACGCAGAGGGTCTGCTCTTGGTCTCCTGGACTCAGCAGCTGGCTCCTTCAACCAGACCACACCCTGCTGGTTTTGGTGTCCCCACTCCGGGGCTCTCCTTTGATGCTCAGTCATGGGCAGCACGGAGCTCTGGGTGGCCCATCTATGGGGCCGCCCCTGTTGTCCGGGGCAGGTAAGGCGACACCAGCACAGATGGCCAGCGGCCCTGGGAAGAATCAGCAGGGAAATCTGACCCCACAGGCAGGTGGGGGGAGGGGCACCTGAAAGGTGGGATCCACTGGGGAAGATGACGGTAGGGACAAATGGGAGGGGAGACAAGGAGGCGCCAGGCCAGGGAAAAGCAGAGAGCACAGCCATCTATGACACATGGAGTTTAATGTTTTGTAGTGTGCAGCTTCCCAGTGTTTGGGTATGTCCCCCACTCACACCTTTAGCAGAGCAAGGCGCAGGGCGAGGGGCAGCCGCTGTGACATGTGGTCACTGGGAACACACACGTCAGCACCCGCGTGTCCCAGGGTGAGAACACAACATTTACACAGGAGACAACCACAGACAGGTGAACCACGGATGGGCGTATGCCCCACCCACACCCCTGGCAGGGCAGGCTGTGACACACGGTCACTGGGAATACACACGTCAGCACCCGCGTGTCCCAGGGTGAGAACACGACATTTACACAGGAGAGAACCACGGACGGGGGCATGCTCCACCCCCAGCCTTGGCAGGGTGGGGCACAGGGCAAACACACATGTCAGCACCCTGAGTGTCCCATGATAAGAACAGAACTTTTACACAGGAGAGAACCATGGACATCCATCCACACGAGGAGCCGGGGCACACGTGGGCACACTGGATTCATGTGGTGGTTCACACAAGAAACATCACAGCCTTGAGTTTTCTATGGGAACAGGCCTGGGGCAGGGACTAGAGAGACCTGAGCCTGCGCATGAGAACCTGGGTGTGCAAACCATGTGCGCAGGATGAGAACTTGGCCTCCGTGGCAGGGGGTCTGAGCAGCGAGCACCACGCCCCGTGGGCTCCCACAGGCTCCTGAGGGCCACGTATGAAGTGAGGTTTCAAAGTCCAGATGCCACCCAAGGGCATGGCTCCCTCAGGCCTCGCTGCTGCTCTGACAGCCTCGGCTGCTGCCTCGTTCCACCCACACGAGGCGGGCCTGCTCCTGCAGGATGCGGCCACGGACCACCTTGGCCAGCTCCTCGGCATGAACCCAGGCGTGGGCAGGGACCTGCACCCAGGAACAAGGCAGTCCCCAGAGCGCCTGCTCCGAGCTGCGGCACTGACGCAGCAGCTCCGAGTCCCGCCAGCCTGGCCGGCCCAGCAGCCCCCTGTGAAGAGAGAACATCAGGGGGCATCAGTGGTCAGGGAGGGGCCTCTCCACACCCCCAAGGCAGATGGCAGAAACCACAGAGAGGCCCTGAGAGAAGATGCCATGAGAGAGACAGAGACAGCAAGGAGCTGGAGAGAGCCGCGGGCACCGGCGCACCTGACTTCACGGACGTTCTTCTCGGTGACTTCCACGTGGATGATAATGGGGTAGATCTCGTTGTGGACCAGCTCCCGCACGCCCCGCACGCCCAGCTCCAGCAGACAGTGTTTCTGCTCAGAGGAGTGGGAGGCACATTGTACTCCCGGCCTCCCCAAGGCCCTTGCCCAATCCAGGTGACCCATGTCACAGCTCCCATTGCCAAGTCCTGCTTCACCACCCCCCCCCACGCCCAGCAGGTGTCTAGGCAGCAAGCAGAGAACCTGGAATGGAAGACCTGGGCACTCTGGTGACCTGGAGGAAGGTCCATGTGGCATATCTCCTACCCACCCTACGACCTACAGCTCCCAGACAGAAGCAAGCTCAAGAGCAGGAACAGACAGCCCTATGTCTACGATCCACTTGAGGGCCCTATCCCACCCATGTCTCAGATAAGGAAAACTGAAGACCACAGGAAGGAAAGAGTCTGCCTGGGGGCCCCGGCACCACATGAGCAGCAGAGCAGGGTTGGCCTTGAGCTCTCACACCCAGGAGAGGAGCCACCTGTTCTAGCCCAGTCCCACCCCCACCACTGGCCCCCGTACCCACCTTCCCGACTGACTCCTGGATGGCACGGATCCTGCCACCCAGCCCAGGGGTGGCAGGCCGGGCCTTGGGGGCTCCAGGTGCTGATGGTGTACCCTGCTCCTCCCCAGACAGGCTTTCTATACAAGGAGAAGGAGAGAGGCAGCCAACAAGAGTCATGGGCTTGGCTGCCCAGAACAATCCTTCCCCCCCACCCCTGACCCTCCCCTCTCAAAGATGCAGGCTCACCCGCCGGGCACACTTGGAAGTCCAGCCGGGAGCTGGGCAGGTCCAGCAGGTTGCGGATGAGCCGGGGTGCCAGGCACTCGGGCAGCAGCACCACGGGTCGTAGGGCAGACACCAGTAGCGGCCGCACCAGGCTGTAGGGCTTCAGGCTCCGCTCCGGCTCTGCAGCACGGAAGGGGGCCGGAGAGGTGAGGGTACAGGCAGGTTTCCAGCTGTAAGCGACAGCCCTGCCCTGCCAGTGTTCCATATACCCATCCTAAGTGCTGCTGTGTATAGGAGCACACACATACACACCCTTGCAGGCTGCCTGCCCTCACTCCCTGGGACCCTCCCCTAGGCTTCCTCCCTGAGCTTCCTGTCTCATCCCTGCCTCCTACAGGTCATTCTCTGCACAGCCACCAGATCCTGGAACTTCACAGGTTCTGGAAGAAGGAGCCACAGCCTCCATGCAAGTGACAGAGATGCAGCCCTGCCCTGGGGAGCCCCAGGAAGTCCACTGCCACCTCAGTTCTGCTTTCCGCTGCCTGCAATCACAGGGCCCTTGCACACCTGGGTCAACCCCCCCGCCCCGGACCCAGCTTCCCTTCAGAGCCCAAGCCACATGGGCAGGGACCCTGGCATGCATTCCTGACACACCCCTCCCCTGCACCACCTTCCCACTCTATCTTACTATGCTCCTGAATGTGTTTCTCTGCCAGCACCTGTCCCCGTCCAAGCCCTGCTATAGTAAACTCCATAAAGGGCCCTTGGGCCAACCTCAATACACTCACAGCTGGCATGCAACTCGCACGTGCCGGTTCTAGCACTTCCTCTTCTAGGAAGTCTTCCCTAACCACTGCCCCCACGGCCACCCAGGACTCCTCCCCGGAGGCCTCCCCTCACCGCTGTAGGCTCCTGTAGCCCCTGCCAGCACGCATGTGTGGGAAGCACAGCTACACCACAAGCCCCACAGTCACAGTCCCACACAGGCACCTGCCACGTGGTCTCCTGCCACCAGGGGGCACCTGTCCCTCAGGCCCCTGCCTCACCACACCTCACTTCCCACAACAAGCTGTTCCAGACCAAAAGGATCACCAAGGCTGAGGGATCCCCAAACCCCAACCCTCCTTGCACCTGTGCACTCACCTGGGCAGGGCTCCAGCAGCAGCTGCTCTGGGGAGTCCCCTGCGGGCCCCCCCACCGGCTTGGGCCTCACCAGCCGCAGCTGGTCCAGGGCTCGCTTCTTTAGCTGGAGGGTGGGCGTGCAAGGAAAGAAACGGCACCTGAGAACTCAGCCCCACTCACTCCGAGGAGAGAAGGGAGCAAAGGGGGTCCCAGCAGAGCAGACCCCATCGCCACCGCAGGCCAGGTGCACTGAGAGGTGGCCCAGCACAGCACCCCAGGCTGGGAAGAGGGTGACCAAATCTGGGCAGCCCAGAGAGCCAAAGATCCCCAGAGAGACAAACTCTGGGATCCCTCCCAAGGAACAGGCAGTATGAGCTGGGGTGGGAAGAGCAGTGAGCCAGCTGTCCACATCACTGACGGGCACAAAATGCCACCCCAGCCCAGACATGGACAAGCTGCTACCATATAGTCACACCTGCCGCTGATGGCAAGTCAGCCCAGGCAGTCTGCCTCCCATGGTTCTCAAGGGTCCCCTCACTGGCCTCCCTCGCCTAGGGGCTCAATGAGGGGCTCACCCAGGCCTGGAAAGGGGACATGACTGCAGCCGCCCCCACACTCTGAGCACTGCCCATCAACCATCACCTGCCCAGGGCAGTGAGCACCACTGCTCTGTGGTGAACACAGCACATGAGTGATCAAGTCCCAGGGCAGAGTGACCAAGGGGCCTCTCTGCCCTCTCTGCTCCGGGGCTCCCAAAGAAAGCTGTCTCTCTTCACCCCTGCTCACCCCTACCAGCTCTCTCTGCTCCTCCCCTGCCCGCTCCACCCTGCTTACATTACTCCGGGGACTTCGGTGGCGGCTAGAGGGCAGACATTTCTCCTGGGCTTCCAGAAGCTGCTGGGCTCTGTGGGAGGGAGAGCTGGGAGGTATATCTGTCAGGGAATGGGGGGGGGGGTCCTCACCAGAGAACACGGTGCAGGAAGGGCAGCGAACCCCATGCCGTTGGCCCCTGGCTCCCAGCAGTGCCTCACCTCTGGTAATTGGGCACGGTGCCCCGATCCAGGTCCCGCAGTGTGAGGGGGTCCACCCGCGTACAGTACCACTCCTGCCGCCGCTTGTACGCAGGGTCCACCAGCCGCAGGATCTCCTGGGCTTTCACGCACAGGGCATGGGGATCAGCCCGCTCAGGCAGGCTAAGGTTGGCTCGGATGTAGAAGGGCTCGGCCCCTGGGCCCTTTGCCCAGGCATCAAGGGCTTCATGGAAGGACTGGCAAGCTGGGCGGGGAAGCAGGAGGAGGAAGGTGGTAAGGCCAGGAGTCAGGTCTGGCACTCCCAAGGTCACAGCTATCAGGAGCCCACCTGCCCCTTCTACAAGCGAGTGACAGCTCCCAAGGTCACCAAGCCACTAGGGATACGCCCAGGTCTCTCTCCCTTTGCTGCCTGCCACTCACAGCAGATAGCATGCTGGGAGCCAGCCAACCAGCACCAGGTGAGGTGGACCCCTTTGCTGGCCTCGGTTTCTGCTAGCTGAGCCCTCTCTTGGACATCAACTCTAATCTTCCAGGACTCGCGTGAGTCTCCAGGGCCCAACTTACCCTGGGAGTCCCGCAGGGAGGGGAGTGTGGACCACTGGCTCCAAGGCAAGGTTCTGTGCTGGGCCTCTGCCTCCAGGCACGCCCCCTCATGGCCAGCTGTCTCAGCCCTTGGCTGTGAGGAAATGCAAGGTGACAGGGACAGGGCTGGAGAAAGACTGGGTGTGTGGGGGGTGAGCACACCTTGTCACTCACAGGGCAGCCACACCCCACGACTCAGACCACACTCCCATCCTCAGGATGCCCCCAGCCAGTCAGGATCTGCCCTGGTACTGTCGGTCTTCCCCAGTTCAGGAGGCGGAGTTTGCCTTACCTCTTGTGATTCGGTCCTGGCTGACCCTGGCCCAGACAGCACCCTGCGTACCACCGCCCCAGACCATCTGTCTCCAAGGAATGGCAGGCAGTCTAAGCCCTTGTCTGGGGACTCTGGTCCCCCAGGAGGGCTCCAGCCAGACACACGGATGGCCAGAGACCTGGGAAGAGAGGAGGGGAAGGTAGAGGCCTGTGGGTCCTGTGACTCAGTTCAGCATTCTTAGACAAACCACAGTGACTCCATTCCCCAGGTATGCCCTGGCTGCACTTTAGGGCCACTGCACCTGCTGCAGCCTCTGCCCTTCCCCCTCTGCCCCACCCTGGCCCATACTCCTCATCCTCACTCCAGTTTTCCCTTCTCCATCCGAAAGAGCCTTGGAACCAGCCTCGCTCCCACCGGGCAACAGGAGCCACTGCGCAAAGCAAGCCAGGGTCCTGGATGAGCTGCGGTGAGGACTTAGGGGGCCTAGCTGACCCCAGGTCCCTTTCATAAGTCCCTGGTTATAGCATGGAAGTCATGTGGGAGGGGCGGCCAACCTGGGGTGGGAGAGCTGCAGGGAACTTAACCCCATCAATACCCTCTGGAGAGTGGGAAAGTTGGGGCCAAGGGGGCCCATCTCAGCCCCCGTCCTTCAGTCCACACAAACAGAGTCAGAGTGGAGAGGCTGGGGCTCCCCTGGGCAGGGCCGGCTGCAGGTCCTACAGAGTCAGGAGGCCTGGGTTGGGCCTATGGCTGGTGAAACGTGGCAGAACACAGATAAACGTGCCCTGGACGTGGACAAACGAGCTGGTCACTTGAGGCTTGGTCCTCAGGATGACCAGGTAGAAGAGCAGGTGGACAAGAAAATCAGAGGGCACAGGGCTATGAGTGGCCCTAGTGTTAAGCAGCAAGCTGCCTGCCCACCTGGGGACAGCAAACTGCAGTCTCTGAGGCAGGCATGTATGCTCAGGGCTCTCTGGCTCCATGGAACCTCCACAAAGTTTAAGAAAGGCCACCCAGAGAGGACCTGCCTGAGCCACCAGCTCTCAGCCTCTTCCAACCCCTCCAGCCATGCCATGAGCCCGCATGACTTCAGTTCTTGGGGTTCCCAGTGGTTATGGCCAGAGCACCTCTCACAGGCTGTGGTTTCAAAGGCACAGACGAGTGGCCAATCCTGCCTCCCAGATCTGCCCTGCCCACCCCAAGCCTGCCCCACACCTCCCTCCCACCACCACGGAACTGGGGCATTAAGGCTGGTGTCCCCCAGCCCCGCCAGAGCTCTTCCTGCCAACGCCTACTACTAACTCCCCTGCCCCACCCAAAGATCTAGCTTAGAATCTCCAGAGTGAACAATGCTGAGCACTGCCGAAAAACCTACAAGACTACAGTGACCAGGGTCCAGGCGGCAGCACCCTGCACCCAGGCCCCAGCAGACAAGCCGGTGGAGATGAGAGGAGGGAAGGCTGCCTTCTCTAACTCCTCCTAGGACTGAGCCAGCAGGGCCATCACCCCCATGTTAGAATGAGAAAGACTGAGGCAACAGGAGACATATCCTGCCAAGGGTGGCATGGCTGGGAGTGGCAGACCAGACAAGCACCAAGGAGCACCCAGAGGCAGCAGCCCGGGAGAGGCGAGCAAGGGCAGGGGACCAGCACCCTGACAGCCTACATCACCTGTCCCCGGGCCACACAAAGGACAGGAGAGGAAGAGCAAAGGGATTGGGAGCAGGAGAGGAAAGGCAGGGGTGAGGGTTCAGGGGAGGGGAACACCCCAGGAACCTGAGGCTGGAAGCAGCCTGGGCAGACAAAGGCAGGCACAGCCAGAAGCAGCAATAACAGCAGCCTGGGACTGAGGACAAACTTCCAATGTTCACTGGGCCTTCATAGTCCTCATCTGAGTAATGGGACTGAGAACAGCAGTCCTGCCAAGCTGGTGGGAACTGAGCGACTCCACAAGGAGCAGCTGGGAGCACATAGCGGCAGAGCCCTCGGCACGGGCTTGGCGCTGCTGGATGGAGCCCTGGGGCTGGCTGTCCCACACAGCAGTTAGGATACCACAAAGCATGCAGGCAGCGTGCCTGGGTCCTGGCCCACTCAGTTTCCTATTCCAGCTTCCTGTTAACACACACCAGGGAGGCAGTGGCGATGGCTGAAGCGTCTGAGTTTTTGCTAACCATGTGGGAGACTCAGATGGAGTTTGGGGCTTCTGGCTTTGGCCTCTAGCTGTTGCAGATTTGTGGGTGGGGGCAAGAGTCAACCAGCAGATGGAAGATCTTTCTCTCTCAAGTACATTAAATATATTTCTGTTGCTGAAGAAGAGATACCAGAACTCTGTCAATGACCCTAGGGGACAGGCACTACTGTAACCCCATTTCACAGAACAGATGACTGAGGTGCTAGGAAACTGACTTGTCCAGGCCCCGGGACAAAGCAACAGAGCCAAAATTGGAGTCAAGGCAAGTGGCTTCCAAGCCTGCTCTCCTCATCCCACCCGTGACAAGGAGCCCCACCCTACCCAGGCCTCTCACCTCCAGCTCTGCCCTGTCCCCCCTTCCCCTCTACCTTCCACCCACCGCACCAAGTGCTCCTTCCCCAGCTCCCTCCGCCCCAGGAACGGAGGTGGTGCCACGTGGGCATGACTGTGGGGCTGGCCCAGGCCTCTTGCTCCCTCCTCTGTATCCTGGAGCCCCCTGGACAGCCGCCAGGCCGCCCTGCTGCAGCCTGTGCTGGAGGAAGGGCCGAGGCAGGCAGGAAGGCAGGCACCTCCACCCCTTCCCCCAGAACTATGTCCTGCGCACGCACAAACAATGTCACAATGCTGTCGTCCCAGGCTCCCGGTGGCCGGAGGTGGGGGTGGGGGAGGTCAGGGGCCCAGACGCCAACCTAACCAAGCTGCTTCCCCTGGCCCCACGCCACCCCAATCTGTTGTCTGACCTGTCCCTCAGCCCAGCCTCCCCTACATTCCAGAGCAAACATTCAGTGCTGCCCACACCCCCTTGCAAACCCTAAGACAATGCAGACCTGGGCTGGGGTACTTATCAGCTGTGTGGCCTCAGGCAAGCTACTAAACCTCTCTGGGCTTCCGCTGTCTCCTCAAAAACAACAGAGATGAGCTTAACCGACTGTGGCCCAGCAGCCAGCAGCTACGGAGAGCTCCTGGACGCCGAGGATGGACAAGCCAAAGTCCACATTCCCAGCCTGCCTTGGAGAGCCGGCTCTGGCTCAGCCCATCCACCTGCCTCCACTTCCCTCTGCCCTCCCCTCTGCCAAACCGCAGGTGCCTCCCTGGCCAGCCTCCCTCCGTCCACTGCTGCCAGCCTCGGACCCTGCACCCCAGCCCTTCTGAGAGCCACTGGCCCTAACAGGGAACACCACAGGCCAACACACAGCATGCCACCTGCCATGCATTCTGTGTGGAGGAGGGGGGGTTTCCATCACAGGTGGTGGGGGGGAAGGAGAGTTAAGCTCCGCCCACAGCTCAGCAGGAAAGCCAGGTGCCACTGGGAGCTCAGGCAGCGCCAGTTATGGGACAAGGGCAACCTTTTCTTGACACCGACTGTGCACTAAGCACCTACTACGTGCTGATGGCTTCACTCACACACAAAGCTACATAAAAGCACATGCCCTTTTCTGATGAGGAAATTGAGGCACAGGGAGGAGTGAGTGGGCCAAGCCACACAGCTGGCGAGTGGGAGTGACAAGGTCCCCAGTCAAACAGTCAGTATCTGAAGACCTTGTTGCTGGGCCAGGTTTGGCCCCACCCACCCTGCTTCGCCCCGCCCCCTCCACCTCGCCCCGCCCCTTCCACCTCCCCAGGTGTCCTCCACCTCAGGTCATCACCAGGCCCAACACTGCAGACCCCACAGCCACAGTACCTGTTGAGGAGATCCAGGCCACCGCCCCAGGATAGGGGACCTTCTGGCTTTCCCAAAGGCCACACACTGTCAGAGGAGGAGGAGGAGGACAGACCCGGGGACCAGGGCTTCAGTGTCACGCTCCCTGGGAAGGAAGAGAAAGGAGAGGCTGGAGAACCAGGAATGGGGCTAAGGCCCCGCCCAGCCCAGGTCCTGGAAGCTCCAGGGGTACACGGCACACCCTCCTCCCGCAACCCTCAGCCCAGCCAGGGGGACCCTCCTGCTCCCTGGAGGCTGGGCCTCTGAGTAACAGAGTGATTGCACAGCCAGGGAGGAGAACATGGGCCGGCTCTGGGCTCACCAGACCCAGGACTGCACCAGATCGCCCAGGAGCCTCAGTGAGCACAGACACAGACCAGGGCAGAGCAGGCGACCCAGGCCTCGGGCAGCTTGCAAAACCCTCATCACCACCACCCTACCCAGCCCAACCCTGTATGTAGTTCCCAGCATTGTCACCTGTGATGTCCGACATGCTGCTGAAGGACCTGCATGGAGACAGGGTGGGACAGAGAAGGAGATCCAGTGAGACTCGGCCCCACTCCTTCCTCCCGCCCACCAAGGTCCCACAGTCCCTACGGTGGGGGTACCCAGGCTCACAGAGCCCCTACATTCACAGGGTGAGAAGCTAGTATGCTGGCCTCTGCAGGGAGGCCACCTCCTCCAGGAAGCCTCCCTGGACCTCTCAGCCCTTATCTCACTTGCCACCTCTGTGGGTTGTGGCTCAGGATTGTGCCATGCAACTTAGCCAGTGACCTCCCTATCACGACCCACTGACAGCAGACACAGAGCAAGCCTAGGGTGGGTACGGCCGCCCAGGGCTTGGCTTCTCTCCGGTCAGTACTGGGAAATCAAATGGAACTGACTAGAGGAAGCAGTTGTGGAGGGCGGGGCTGGACACACCTGCAAGGCAGGACTCAGCCCAGCTTTGCCACCATGCCTGGGCAAGTTTTCTGTATCCCTCAGCCCCAACCACCAGCTTCCTCACGGGGTCAGCTTCCTTGTGGGGTGATGACCTTCAAGGCCTGACCTCCAGCAAGTCCCCTTCGAGGCTTGCCCTAATCCTTGACCTCAGTCCCTCCTGGGAGTTGCAGGGGACCTGGGTGGTGGTCTCCTGGATCCACTGAGGTGTCCCTGGGGACCTCACTGCCTCGGGCCCTGCTTGCCTGTCTCCCTAGGCTGCTTACCTCTTAGGGGGTGCAGGGTCCTCCTCGCGCTGCCGCCGCAGGATGGATCCAGCGCTGGGGGGGAAGGGCAGGATAGACAGCCGGTTGATCTCCTTCTCGCTGTCCGTGGCCTCCTCCTGTAATGCCACCACAGGACTCCGGTCACCCCACTGCCCAGCACTGTCTCCGTGCCACAAAGACACCTGGGGTCTGGAGCACCGGAGTGGGCTGCAGGCTGACATGCGGTGAGTGGCTCCCAGGCCTTATACCACCTTAGTCCAGGGTAAGATAAAGAAGGTATGTGGTTAGGCAGCTGTTGGGCACAGCAGCCATTTGGGACACACACAACACAATCCGAGAGAAGAAACTGGAAGTTGAAGCTACAGCTGAGGGCACCTGTATGCCGTCACAGCATGCTCTGGCCCAAGTGCCAGTTCTGCTTCCAAACCAGCTCCCTGTTAATGCACACTCGGGGAGGCAGCAAGTGGCAGATCAAGTACCCGGGGTCCTGCCATCCAGGCAGGAGTCCCAGATGGTGTTCCAGGCTCTTGGCCTAAGTCTGGTTCAGCTCTGGCTGCTGCGGGCATTTGGGAGCGCACCAGCAGAAGGAAGCTATCTACTTGGCTAATACAGATACTTATGTTGTGAAAGGTGCTTGGTCTCCTGGGGCCTCAATGTATCCGCAAAAGAGCGCCATAAGCCAACATGTACCCCATATTAGGAATGATTTAGATGCTATCAGCATCTCTGGGGTGAGGTGGAGTGGGCTTACCGAGGTGAGGGGCTCAGAGCCACCCGTGCCAGGTGCATCACCAGCTACTTCCAGAACTCCCAGCGGGGAGGGGAACTCACTGAGGCTCCAGGTGCTGCTGAGGTTTGAGCAGAGGGAATGGGAAGAGGCACAGGCCTGGGAGGGGAGAGGAAAGGGGGAAAAGAAGAGGTGAGGCATGCTGGGCCCAGGCAGCCAAACCATTTACCGGGCACCTGCCCTGCACCAGGTCCAGGGACAGAGAGCCAGGGCATGAGCAGCCAGATCCCTGCCTTCACGGGGCTCCCAGACTCCACAGGGAGAGCAACTGGACCCCAGCAGGGAGGTGAACAAAATGATCCCAAGCACAGAACAGCAGGCAAGTACTAGGGACATGGAGTCCTCCTGGGCCCCACCCAGCCTGGCAGCATCAGCGTTTTCCAGGAAAAGTGGGAATAGCCTGGGAGGAGGGTCCCAGCTGCCAGGACAACATGTGCAAAGGCCCTGAGGCAGGACCGTGCCACATTCTAGGAGTCGGAGAGCTGTGACTCACAGTTACAGGACACAAGGAGGAAGGCTTAGACTGCTGGGCCTCTCCAGCAATGAAGAGGGGCTAGAACTCAGAACAAGGCGGGCACCTCAGGGGGCAGTGCATTAAACCTCCACCTAGGACACCAGCATCCCACAGGAACACCATTTCGAGTCCCAGCTGCTCTGTTTCTAACCCTGATCCCTGCTAATGCACTTGGGAAAGCAAGCGGACAAAGGCCCAAGTACCTGGTCCCTATCACCCACATGGGATGCCCAGTGAGTTCCTAGCTCCTGGCTTCATCTTGCCCAGCCCTGGCTATTGTAGCCATCTAGGAAGTGAATCAGCTGTTGGAAGATCTCTCGAACTCTCTCTCATTCCCCAATTCTTCAAGTAAGTAAATAAAATCTTTATTTTAAAAGGCACACTGAGAATTTAAAAGCAAAAGTCAGGTTCACAGCTGAGTTCTTTTCCATGCCCATTGCCTCTAACATGCAGCCCACTGAGCTCACCTTTTTTTTGGGGGGGGGGGAGTAAACTTTTTTTTATCAGTTTTTAACAGGTTTACTGCAGTTCACAGACACAATTCTAAGAAAATAACGATGAGCTCAGCTTTGTGTAACCCAAAAGGCCAAAGTCAAGATGACTTCTGGCCGCCACACGGGAGCCAGTATCAAACTCAGAAAGAACTTGGGGTCATTCCACACTGGCTGGTGGCTGTGTGACCTCCAGCAAACCCCTGACCCTCTCTGGGCCCCCTGCAATGAGTGGATGAGGCTGGCTGGTCTCTGAAGGGCTCTTAGGTCCATGGTAGACAGGAGTAGCTGGTCTCTGAGGCCATGCTTTGCATCCCACTTGTTGGCAGCCCAGCTTTCCTAAGGGAGTGACCCTAGAACCTCAGAACCCCACAGGCCCCACCCTGCTCACCAAGCCACACCCTCCCAGCATAGGATAGAGCGTCCCACCCCAGCTGAGGTTTCCAGTAGGGCCCAGTTGGGCACCTTCCCAGCCCCTAGCCCTCTGTTCACCTTGAGGCAGGACCCGCCCTGGGCCCGCTGCAACTGTGCCTCCAGCAGTGCCTTGGCACCCTCCAGGCTGGTGAGCGTGGTCAGCAGCTCATCCCGCTCGGCCTCCAGGCCCCGCACCTGCTTGCGGTACTGGTCCTTCTCGATGAGGCTCTGGGAATACTGCAGCTGGATGCGGTCCCGGCTCTGGATGGCCTAAGGGGGAGCAGCAGGAGGTGGGCAACTGAGGGAATGCCATGCCTCTCCCCCAGCCTCTGATCATGAAGATGGGCACAGTCACCGGAGCAGCTGCGATCCATGACTGTCCACTTTGTGCTGGGACCACGCTATCAGCTCATGGAATCTTTGCATGTGACCACTAGACACAAGTACCCATTACTTACTGTAACCAGGTAGACAGATTTGAACCACACCGCCCAGCAGCAGCTCCCACTCTCACCAACTCACCAAGAACAACTTAAAAACACTTCTGGGGTCCGGCACAGTGGTACAGCAGCCTAATCCCCTACCTGCAGGGCCAGCATCCCATAGGGTGCCACTCTGAGTCCAGGCTGCTCCACTTTTGATCCAACTCCCTGCTAACAGTTTGGAAAGGCAGTGAAGGATGGTCTAAGCACTTGGGGCTCTACACATGGAAGACCCAGAAGAAACTCCTGGCTTCTGGCTTCAGAGCAGTACAGCTCTGGCTATCGCAAACATTTGGGGAACAAACCAGCATATGGAACATTCTCCCCCTACCAACTCTCTCTCTCTCTCTCTTTCTCTCTCTTCTTCTGTCTGTAACCCTTACAAAGTAAAATAAACAAATAAATAAAACACTTCAAGGAATCCTATTGGATGCCAGGTGCTTTCTTTTATTTGTGTGTTTGTTTGTTTGTTTTTATTGGAAAGGCAGATTTACAGAGAGAAGGAGGAGAGACAGAAAGATCTTCCATCCCTGGTTCACTGCAAAGACCAGAACTAAATCAATCCAAAGCCAGGAGCCAGGAGCTTCTTCCAAGTTTCCTACATGGATATATGGGTCCAAGGCTTTAGGCCATTCTCTACTGATTTCATAGACAGGGAGCTGGATGGGAAATGGAGCATCTGGGACACGAACAAGCACCTATATGACACTTGGAGGGGGAGGATTAGCCAATTGAGCTATCGTGCCAGACTCACCAGATGCTTTCTTCACAGCATCCTCCCTGGAGGAAAGCTGAGTCCCACCCACTGCATCCTAAGTGTGGCTGCCCACAACAAAGACCAGGTCACCGAAAGTTAGACTCACAGCCACCAGTCACTGCCTTGGAGGGAGCTGGGTACTGGGCACCCACTGTGGCTGCGAACAACCTGGTAACACACAGATTTCCAGGTCTCACCTCAAAGTATGAGAACATTCCAGGGAAGAAACCCAAATCCACAGTCTGCCACTTCAAGGCACACTCCAGTGTATAGACTTGAACTCCTCTAGCAAGACACAAATGCGGTCAAGGACAAAATCCTCCTACCCTCCCCCTTATGGGGAACCTCACCCAGGAGGCCTCAAGGAACAGGCCCAGGGTCATCAGCTCCCCCCTCTGCCTCCAGTCTCAGCAAGTGACAAGGGCCTGGGTGCCAGGCACTGGGAATCAGTCTTGACAGATCTTCTTCATCAGCAAATATTTGCAAATACCTGCTATGTCAGCTGTGTCTTCAGGTGCAGAAAACAAGGATGCCAGGTCTAATTACCCAGCTGGCACAGGGGCTCAGGTGAGCAGAGGAGCCCAGGGAACAAGGCTAGGACCCCCAGCACATGAGGGCTGTGCCTGTGCTGCACACATACCCCATTCAGTGCACTGCTGCCATTCATGTCTACAACCCTGGATGCACCTGCTCCACTCATTTTAAAATGTTTTCCTGCAATGCCAGCATCCCACACTGAAGTGTTGGTCTAAGTCCCCACTGCTCTACTTCCAATCCAGCTCCTTGCTAATGCACCTGGGAAAACAACAGGGGATAGTATAAGTGCTTGAGGGAGACTCAGATAAAGTTCTAGGCTCCTGGCTTTGTCCTGGACTAGCCCTGGTCCTTGTAGTCATTTGGGAGTGAGCCAGCAGACAGGAGATCCCTTTCTCTCTCGCCCTCTCTCTGACTCTGCCTTTCAAATAAACAGGAAAAGAGCACAGTAGCACAACAAGCAACCCTCTCCCTTCAGTGCCAAGCATCTCATATGGGTGCCTGTTCCAGCCTCAGCTGTTCCACTTCCGATCGAGCTCCCTGCTTACAGTCTGGGAAAAGCAGACGATGGCCCACAGCCCTGGGACCCAGCACCCATGTGAGAGGCCAGAAGAAGCTCCTGGTTTGGGCCTGGTCATTGCAGCCATTTAGGGAGTCAAGCAGGGGATGAGAGATCTCCGTCTCTCCTCTCTCCGTAACTCTTACTTTCAAATAAAAACAAATACTGAATCTTTAAAAAATAAATTAATCTTTACAAGTTCAATCAATGTAAGATTTCAGGAACCTACTTTGGGCCTGAGGCTTTCGTCACTGCTTCCTGATTGATGGAGAAGTCAGGAATCAAGCCCCATCCACCACCTGCCAAGCAGCCGGCGGTGTACCGGGCCCTGACACCACACCGTGGGCCAGCCCTCACCTGGTCCCGCTCCTTCTCGATCTCCTCCAGCTGGGCCAGCACGGTGGCCATGCGGTGCTTGTACAGGTCACAGTCCTTCTGCAACGTGCGGTGTTTCAGCCGCAGGTCCTCCATCTCCTGCAGGTACTGCGGGCCAGTGGATGGGCTCAGACCACAGGGCCGGGAATGAGAAGTGCAAACCAGCCTGTGGCCAGCAGGTCAGGGGACAGAGGCCTGAGCCCCAGGAACAAGCACCCACCTCCTCAGCAGGAACACAGACCTCACCTCACTGGGCCTCAATAGCCTCATATGTAAAATGGGTGGAACAGCATCGAAGGCCTCCATGCAGAGCCAGCCTCAGCCTCCACATGGAACCTGCAGCCTGTACCCTGAACTCACTCTGCCCCTGGCCTCACCTGTGGACTCAGCCACTTAACCATGTGCCTGCCACACTGCTGGTCTCCCAGGGCCCCAAGTTGTGGTCCTCAAAAGCAAGACCTCTTTATATTCACAGATGTATTTCAAGCACCCAGAAGGCAGCCTCCATCAGTATAAGAACAAGGGAATGCCCGAATCCTGGCATAGCACCTGCAATCAGCAGGTGTCCGAGAAGGCTGCCGGACATACAGAGAGGTCCCTCCCACCCACAGGCACCAGGCATGAACACAAACAGTTAAGGGCTGTCGGCACGGGTTAGGGAGGAGGCGGAAGGACGGGGCAGATGGGATGATGGGGTCACCACCTTGTCCCGCAGCTCCTCGGCCCACTGCAGCTCCCCCTGCACGGTCAGCAGCTTCTGGCACAGCTCCTGTCTGCTGTCCTGTGCCTCCCGCCAGTCATGCTCCAGAATGTCCAACAGGATGCGCTCGGAGCCTGGGGCCCCTGGCCGGCTCGCCTCCTGGGGATCAGGGTTCAAGACCACCTCAGCAGCTGGCCCAGGGCCCACCTTGGGGATGGGGAGTAAGGCGGGAGGACATACCATCCTCAGTTCCCACCCACTAGCTCTGCCTTCTTGGCCCACACCTGGACCTGCTACCCAACCTTCACTCCCATCCCCATCAAGACACAGGTGTGGCCCTGGCAGACCCTGACTACCCTCCAGGAGATACCTGGGCTCTCTAGGAGGTAAGGAGTGCAGGCTGGGCAAGTACGGCCAGGACCTCTTGTTTCTAAACAAGATCCAGGCTGACTCCTCTTGCTAGCTCCCACCCAGCACACAGGACCCAACAGGTCATTCCCAAGGCCTCCATTCATGACCCTCACAAGGGGGCTTCATGGGACTGAGCCAAAACAGAAAGGCCCTGGGCCCAAGTTCATCGCCCCAGTCCCCCATCTCCACCAAGAACCCCAAACCCCAAAACACCCTAGCCAGAAAGCACCCATGCTGTCATTCCCAGCCACAGGACACCAGGCAAGCTCCAGACCCACCCAGGCCACGGAAACTTCCATCTTGCCAGGGCCACGGACCCCTGTACAATCCCAAGAATAAGAATCAGCCCTGATTCAGATGCACAAGTCCTTGGACCAAACAACATCTGCTAAGCACCCTCAGCTTAGCCACGAGGGATGGCAAGGCCCCTGGCTAGATCTCAGACAGCTGGATTCGGACTCTTCACACCTAAGAAGGACTAGTGAGAAGCAGGGGTCACCCACACCTGACAGCCAGGCCCCGGTACCTGCTGCACGCCCTGCTGCAGCTCCTGCAGTGACGCCGTCAGCCGCTGGTTCTCAGCACGCAGCTCAGAGACAAGGTCCACGCTGTCCAGCTCCTTCTCCTTCTCCTCGGTCCCAGGAGGCGGCCCCCTGGCCCTGCGCAGCAGCGTGCACTCTTCCTCCAGCCGGCTTACCTTGAGCTTCAGCTGGTCCACCTGGGGCCCAAGAAAGGGGTTAGGCCAGAGAAGCAGCAGCTGGCAGCTCCGCAAGCTCACCGGGCATGTACGTATGGTAAAAGGCAGGCACTAGCCAGAAAGGCTCCCCGGATTGGTCAGCAAAGAAGGGGCAAGCAGAGCATTGAGGACACAAATATGGAGTAGGAACGAAAGCCACAAGGCCACCACCCCCAGGGGCACCTGCTTCAAAGACAAGTAGATAAATGAGTGGCATCACGGCTAGTTTGGTCACACACACTTCTGACACCAAGCGTCATCAATGTAGCCCAGGATTATCATGACGGGAAGGGGGAATGGAGGAGGAGGAGAAGAAGGAAGAAGGGAAAGAGGAGGAAGACCATGACAATAACTGCCTCAGAACAGGTGACTCTGAGCTGGCACAGTGGCTCAAGAGGCTAATCCTCCACCATGCAGTGCCAACATCCCACACGGGAGCTGCTTCTATTCCTGGCTGTTCCACTTCCCATTCAGCTCCCTACATGTGGTCTGGGAAAGCAGCAAAATATAACTCAACTCCTTGGAACCCTGCACCCATAAGGGAGACCTGGAAAAAGCTACTGGCTCCAGGTTTCAGATCAGCTCAGTTCTTGCCATTGTGCCCTTTTGGGGAATGAACCAATCAATGGAAAATCTTTTTGTTTCTCTTCTCCAAAAATCAGTCTGTCTAATAAGAAAGAAAGAAACTACCAAGGAATCTGCCTTGGGCCACATCGTGGCTCCCCAAGTGCCCAGAGGGTGAGAGGACGATGTGTGTTTAAGAGGCTCACCCAGCCCAAAAGCCAGGATGGGTCCAGGTGCTGTAACCCAGCAAATTAAGCTGCCATCTGTGGTGCTGACAGCCCACAGAGAAGCATCAGTTAGAGTCCCAGCTGCTCTACTTCCAATCCAGCTGCGTGCTAACAGCCAAGGAAGGTAGCAGAAATCCTTGGGCTCCCAGCAGCCCCGCAGAAGATCCAGAGAGCTTCAGTCTCCTGGGTTCAGCCTGGCCCAGTCATGGCTGTTGTGGCCATGTGGAGAACAAAGCATCAGATGGAAGATCTGTCTATGCCATCTGCCTTCCAACCGCTTGCCCCCTCCTATCTGCTCTCCACCCCACACAAGCCTACCTATACCCAATTCTTCCTTCAGAAACTCCTGGGGCCAGTATTGTGGCACAGGGATGTTGGGCTGCCACCTGTAGCACCCACATCCCCTATAGGCACTGGTTCAAATTCTATCTGCTCCACGTCCAATCCCTTTCACGTGCCTGGGAAAGCAGCAGAGGATACCCCAAGTATTTGGGCTCCTGTTCCCATGTTAGTTAGAGTCCCGGATGGAGCCCCGGTTCCTGGCTTGAGCCTGGCCCAGCCCTGGCTGTTGGGGCTGCTTGGGGAGTAAACAAGTAAATGAAAGATTCTCTCCCTCTCTCTGTAACTCTGCCTTTCAAATAAAGAAATCATTAAGAAGAAAATCCCTAATGACCTCAGCTCTAAAGCCACAACCTATTGTTTGTCCCCCACGAGACCTGCCTGGCCAGGGTTCCAGGTCCAATTGGACCACTTGCTAGGCTCTGTCACCCTGAGTCTCTTCTCTCCCCTGAGCCTCAGTTTCCCCACTCCCCAAATCACTGCAAGACTCAAACCAGACAGGGACAGGCAGAGGCCGCTGTCAGCAAGGGGCAGCCTTGGAGCCGCCACTGGTGTGACTGAGCTGTCTGCCACACTCTAAGTCACACCTCCGTGTCCTGAGGGCTCACATGTTCTGTGGGCACAGCCAGAGGCTGGGTGGGGGGCTGGCACAAGGAACAGGAGTGTGCCAGGCCAAGGGTTGACATGCATGACTGGTCTGCTGAGCTATGAGTCTCAGCCAGGGTCATGTTCCAGGTGCGTGTGGTGGGGTTGGAGGCAGCCAGATTGGTGATACAGGGAGCAGCAGGAGGCAGACATTAAAAAGAAGCCTTTGTTGGGCAAAGGTCTCCCTGTGACCTCTGGAGCCATCCTCAGCTGTGCCAGTGTCTGGTGCCCTAGGAATGCCCCAGTCCCTCAGGCATCAGAGCCTAGAATGGCACAGACCCAACTCCCCACACAAGGGACTGGAGGCGGAGGCAGGTCCATCCGCTAATTAGCTTTCTACTCCTCCTCCACTAGAGACTCGAAGAAATCCATGACTCCCACATTCCTTTCCACTCACAAAACGCGCTTTGTGAGCCGCCAGAGGCTGACAACAATGCTGGCTCAAGGAGAAGCAGGGCCACGCCCTCCGCCTCCCCCGATGCATACACCTCCCCGCACACAACCCCAGCACCCACAGCCGCACACCGCCATCTCCTGCAGCCACAGCTTCCCCCGAGGAGCTCACAGCAGCGGCACACCTGTGGAGTCCTCGCCCCACCACCAGGAAACAGGCATTTAATCCAGACATACCAACTCGCTGAGCACAAAATTACAACGTCCGGGCCTTTGGTTTATGTTGCTTGGAAATAACAGCTCATTAAATTTGCACCTTATAAAACATAACATTCAATCAGCCACCATGCACCTGTCCACAGAGGGATGGAACCCAAGCTGCCTAGCCTAGGGCTGCTCACATCCACCTGCAATATCTTGGTTTATTTTGTGGGTGGAAAAAAAAAAGAAGAAGTAAATCTACAGTGGGTGAGTTTAAAGCAAATCTTACTGACTTCATTCCACCACTCACCTCAGAAACAGTGGCCACACCACCGGCCTACTGGCACACAGCCCTCCCCAGGTGTCCCCGAGTACCTCCAGCCCCCAACACCCCCAATCAATGGCCACTGTGGAGACGCAATCACAATTACAGCAACCCCAAGGGAGGTGCCCCACCCACTCTGAGCAACAGGCTGCTTTCTGCCCAACCTCACAGGAGCCCTATGTCTGCTGCAGAGAAACGAGGACACCGCACAAGAAGACAGGGGACCTCATTCCTCCTCCCCTGCCACCCTTTATGCCTCCACAGTTCTGACAGCAAGGTCACGAAGTCTTCAATCTGGGGACAAGGAAAAGTGAAAAGTGTCTAAGCAAACTTCTCTACGCCTCAGTTTCTCCCACAGAAACAGGGCAGACAGCAGTACCAGTCCCCAGCACGCAGGCACACAAGGTTGCCAGAGAACGAAGAACGAAGGGAATGTACACGTGTGCTCACTGAGGGTGTGCTCACTGAGGGTGTGCTCACTGAGGGTGTGCTCACTGAGGGAGTATTCACTGAGGGAGTGCTCACCGAGGAAGTGCTCACTGAAGCAGTGCTCAATGAGGGTGTGCTCACTGAGGGTGTGCTCACTGAGGAGTGCTCACTGAGGGGTGCTCACTGACGGAGTGCTCACTGAGGGGTGCTCACTGAGGGAGTGCTCACTGAGGGGTGCTCACTGAGGGAGTGCTCACTGAGGGGTACTCACTGAGGGGTGCTCACTGAGGGGTGCTCACTGAGGGAGTATTCACTGAGGGAGTGCTCACCGAGGGAATGCTCACTGAGGGGTGCTCACTGAGGGGTCCTCACTGAGGGGTGCTCATTGAGGGGTGCTCACTGAGGGAGTGCTCATTGAGGGAGTGCTCACTGAGGGGTGCCCACTGAGGGGTGCTCACTGAGGGGTGCCCACTGAGGGGTGCTCACTGAGGGGTGCTCACCGAGGAAGTATTCACTGAGGGAGTGCTCACTGAGGGAGTGCTCACTGAGGGGGTGCTCACTGAGGGGTGCTCACTGAGGGGTGCTCACTGAGAGAGTGCTCACTGAGGGGGTGCTCTCTGAGGGGTGCTCACTGAGGGGTGCTCACTGAGGGGTGCTCACTGAGGGAGTGCTCACTGAGGGGGTGCTCTCTGAGGGGTGCTCACTGAGGGGTGCTCACTGAGGGGTACTCACTGAGGGAGTGCTCACTGAGGGAGTGCTCACTGAGAGGGTGCTCACCGAGGAAGTATTCACTGAGGGAGTGCTCACTGAGAGGGTGCTCACTGAGGGGGTGCTCACTGAGGGAGTGCTCACTGAGGGAGTGCCCACTGAGGGAGTGCTCACTGAGGAGTGCTCACTGAGGGAGTGCCCACTGAGGGAGTGCTCACTGAGGAGTGCTCACTGAGGGGTACTCACTGAGGGGTGCTCACCAAGGAAGTATTCACTGAGGGAGTGCTCACTGAGGGAGTGCTCACTGAGGGGGTGCTCACTGAGGGGTGCTCACTGAGGGGTGCTCACTGAGGGAGTGCTCACTGAGGGTGTGCTCACTGAGGGAGTGCTCACTGAGGGAGTATTCACTGAGGGAGTGCTCACTGAGGGGTGCTCACTGAGGAGTGCTCACTGAGGGGGTACTCACTGAGGGAGTACTCACTGAGGGGTGCTTACTGAGGGGGTGCTCACTGAAGCAGTGCTCAATGAGAGGGAGTGCTCACTGAGGGGTGCTCACCGAGGGAGTGTTCACTGAGGGGTGCTCACTGAGGGGTGCTCACTGAGGGGTGCTCACTGAGGGAGTATTCACTGAGGGAGTGTTCACTGAGGGGTGCTTACTGAGGGTGTGCTCACTGAGGGGTGCTCACTGAGGGGTGCTCACTGAGGGTGGAGCCTGCTGCAGCGCAGGAGAAGTATCGTTGCCCATGACCCCTGCTGGAAAGATGAGGAAACTGGATCACGCAGATGGAAGCCTGACCTTTGCCATGCTGACAGCGAGCAGCTGTGCAGGGACCTGGGCATGTGCAAGTTGTGTGGTTGGTGTCTCCCCAGGGTAAGCCCTGAGCTGGGGTGTGGAGCTCGTTTTGGGTGTAGGTCACTGCTTCTGCTGTGCGCTGGTGGCTGGTTTGTTGAGTGACCAGGAGGCCATTGTCTGAGGGGCTGCCTGGTGTTTGCTTTCTTCATTTCTACATCTGAGAAGCAGGGAGAGAGTGTGAGCTTCCTTCCCTGTACGCCTGCAGCAGCCACGGCTGGGCCAGGCTGTAATAAGGAGATAGGCTCTCCTTCCAGATCTCCTGTACAGGTGAGGGGCCCAAGCACTCAGCCCACCTTTTGCAGCTTTCCCAGGTGCATGAATGGGGAGCTGAATTGGAAATGGAGCAGCTGAGACTTGAACTGGCATCCTCTCCCACCCCCACAGCCAGCACGTGGGCTCCTGACAACGCTGCTCCACAACACTGAAGCCACAGTCCTGGGCTCTGTTACACCTTGCACAGTGGGGCCAGAAAGTGCCTACTATGTGCCACTGGCACCCTGAAGCCTTTGACAGGGATTAGCTCATTAAACTCTCGGGACAATGCGTTGAAGAGTCAAATACCAGTGTAATCCCCATGTTAAATCCCAACAAGAAGCCAGTTCGGCATTGCCGCCTGGGAGAGAGGATTAGGAAAGATGCCGTTGGCCAGCTAACCAGCCAGCCAAGGAGCAGTCTGATAGTGCCAGGGGGAGGAGGGCAGCACTGGCGCCAAGCAGACCAGGTCCAAACCTAAGCTGTGCCACCCCCTGGCTTGGACCGGCAGCGAGCTCTTTGCCCACCCAAGCCTCAGTATCTGCATGACAAAACCAGAAACTGGAGTGAGGTGGTACAGAGGGTAAAGCGACCTCCCTCAAGGCCGGCATCCCACATGGGCACCAGTTCAAGTCCCAGCTGTTCTGTTTCCAGTCTAGTCCTCCACTATTGCACCTGAGAAAGCAGTGGAGCACGGCCCAAGCACTTGGGACCCTGCATCCATGTGGAAGACCTGGATAGAGTTTTAGGTTCCTGGCTTTGGCCTGGCCAGCGCTGGTTGTTGCAGCTGTTTGGAGAGTGAACCAGCAGATGGAAGATTTCTGTCTCTCCATTGCTCTGTAACTCTGCCTTTTCAACACACAAATAAATCTTTATTTAAAAGCAATTAGCCTGCTATAGATTTACTGGATTTCAGGTGCCACCTGCAGCTGTCTTGGCAGAACCAGATGCAATGATTTAACCGGCCTTCTATGGCTGGCAGCTTGGACACTCCCCACCTGGCCTCTGTCCACCTGAGATCCCACACTCCAGCCATGACAATGAGAAATGTTCCCAGATACGGCCAAAAGCTTCGACCCATCAAATTCATCCCCAGGTGAGCATCACAGCCATGAGGTCACAGTACTCTATAACCCCAGATCTCAGATGGGTAAACTGAGACCCAGGGCAGATGTATGTGCCCACAGCTAAAGGACATGCCGGGAGCCAGCTACCAGATGGCTAGTTGGCCAAGGCCACTCCTCTTCCCCACCCAGCCCCACCAAGGATGCAGTCCCAGGGCCTACCGCCAACTGCAGGTCGCGGCTACGTAACACAGCCGAGTTCTTCTCCTCGCTGAGCTGGGCCAGACGCATGGCGATCATGTAGTTCTCATCCTTGAGGCGCAGCAGTTCCAGGCTGCCAGCCTCCCAGTCCTCCCGCAGCCTCTGGCAGCGCTCTTGAGCCTGTTGTTGCTCCCGCAACCGCTGCTCCAGCCCGGCCCGCTCCTCCTCCAGCGCCCGGCCGCGTGCCTGCAGCTGCTGCTCCCGCTGTAGCTGGCTCTTGCGGGCGTCCCGCAGCCGCCGCACCTCGGTCATCAAGAACTGGGTTAGGCCCTCAGGCCCCTCCTCATCTGCAGGGACAGAGAGCCAGGTCAATGCCAAGTTCACTCCAACAAGTGGGATGGGGGCGAGGGGAGGAGTAGCAGCCTGCATAGGCAAACTCATGCTGTGACAGCCAAGAGAATTTCTGGTCTGTACTTTGGTCATCTGGGGTACTCAGAAGCCCTGCCTCCACAAGGTACCAGCTCAAGGAACTAGGAGAGAAAGGATGAACAAATGCATTGAAAAGCTAGCACAAAGCCAAAGCTGTAACAAAGTTGTGAAGAGAAAAAGCCACAGAATGGAGACAGAGCAACAGAAGGACTCCAGTGGGATACAGCCAGCTCCAGGCAGATCTGTAAGAAAAGGCAAACAACAGAATAAAAATATGGGCGGCAAACTATAATAAGCAAGTCTCGAAATAAAAACGGCAACAAACATGCAAAGATGTTCTAGCCTCCAGCAACAGTATCAGGCCTGATGGTTGTTAACTTCATTCTCTGTGCTAGACAGAAATGTCAACTGTTTGCATCTCCATGACAACACTGTAAGGTAAACACTATTATTATACCAATCTGAGAAATTTTTTTAAAGGCTGATTGATTTGAACACCAGAGAGGAGAAAAGGAAAGACAATGAGAGTAAGAAAGCTCTTCCATCCACTGGTTCACTCCCCAAATGGCTGTAATGGCCATGGCTGGGTCATGAAGCCAGGAGCCAGAAGCGTCTTCAGGGTCTCCGCATGGGAGGCAGGGGGTCAAGCAATTGGCCCAGAACCCGCTGATTTTCCCAGGTGTGTTCACAGGGAGCTGGGAAGGAAGTGGGGCAGCCAGAACATGAACCAGCACCCATATGGGATGCTGGCATGGCAGAGACTTAACTTGCTCTACCTGCAGCACCAGCCCCTCCCTGTGCTAATTTTAAAGATAGGAAAACGGAGGCCCATGAAGGTCAAATTGTTTCCTGGTCATTTATTAAATACAAACGCCACTCAATGAACTACAAACTTAGAACAGTAAAATCACCTTCCAGACACTGGACTGCAGAAAACATTCCTTTCTTTTTTTATTTTTTCATTTATTATTTCGGCGAAAACATTTCTATCTGATTCTGGGTTTCACGAAGGTACAACACAGGCTCCCATTCGCAACAGGTGCAGTGACTATAAAACACAGACTCTCAGCATCCCTGTTTTCCAGCTCCCTGCTCCCATGACACAATTTGTACAAAGACACAAACACATCAGAATACTCCCAGCATCGTCGCAACGTGGCAAATCCGGAACCAGAGTAGACAGACGTCAACCAGTGAAGGGTCATGCGGAGACAGCCTTCCAACAAGCGTTAACAGAGATAGCTAAAATCAGTGCTAGAATCGGGCACGCGGAATGCGTACCTAACTAAGTGGTGCAGCCCATCTCACACGCATGTGAATAGGGAGTGTTCAAAAGGAAGCGTGCCCAGGCACAGCTGCAGAAAAAGTGCAACCTCCTCCTTGGACCCTAAGGTGGCCTGGCGCCTCTTGGGTGTTTGTACAGCCACTTTGGAGCTGCATTCGCCAGACATGGGGTGTCCACAAACAACCACACGGGCTCTGAACTCAGGCTAGCCAGAACGCCAGCCCCACCCTCTGCCTCCTGAGGGACCTGACCCCCACGCCAGGGCAGCAGCCTGAGACGTTCTGCACCTCAGTTTCCCCATCTGTTCGACAGGAGAGCCACTCACCCAGGATCATGGAGCAGCGCTGGGCCGGCTCCCGGCCTGTGAGCAGCGTAAAATGTTCCGGATAGTAGAACTCCAGGGCTTCCAGGAAGGCCTCATAGCCCCTCTTGCCACGGCAGCGCAGGATGTCCATCAGGCGCCCTGGGAGGGAGCAGGCGTGGGGGTGGCACCAAGAGCCAGGGGAGGGCTTCCCCTGCCATGCTCAGCTGCTTCCCCCACCAGGCTCCAGGGCCCACAATCCCAAGATTTTTCTGAGTTGGTGTCACACACACATAGGGGCCTGCCCCAACACATCAGGGAAGTGAGCCCAGAGTCGGCCTGGCCAAGAGAGCCAAACACTCCACACACTCTGCTACATGACACATAAACTTCAACAGCCCCTTCCCCTGCCCAGCCCCCCCAACACACACACACACACACACACACACACACACACACACATAAAGATGCAGGCCAGTAAACCCCGCCTGCCTTTTCTTTGTTATTAGCCATTCTTTTAAGGCAGACAGATGTCTACCAGGCATGGAGAGTGAGGCAGGCAAAACAGAAGGGGTGCCCCTGGCTGGGTTACTCCTCAGATGCCCAGAATGGGAGGGGGTGGGGGGGCCAGGGCCCTGAAGCCAGGAACTCTTCAGGTATCGGCTGCTGCACCTCTCCTTGAGCTGCCCTGGTTCCCTCCCAGATCTGGAGTCAGGAACCCTCCAAGGTGGGGTCTGTGTTAGCTGCTAGCAGCCTCCCTTTGCAACAACACGGGGTGGCCTCCACTCCCCACAACAAAATACTTCCACTAGCCAGGGCCTGAAATTCCACCATTGGCCCCTCATTCCTTCGCCAGTTCTGGCCCACTGAGTGGGTGAGGAGACCATGGCAAAGTTGACATGGGTCCCAAGTACCCAGAGGAAGGGGGCTGACAGAGCGAGAGGTCAAAGGGCAAGGGGAAGATGCCATCCCACAGGACAGCGAGGCGTGGCCTGCACCGGCAGACCACAGCACAGGAAGTGAAAGGGAACCCCAAAGCCCTGCCATGGGGCCATCCAGGTGGTTCAGACAGCAGGAAGGTGGGCATTCCCCACTAGCCCAGTCAACCCACGCGGAGACCCAGGCAGGTTAGCAGCGCCCACCTGGCCCGAGCTCCAGGACCGTGCGCGCTGTGAGCACCCCGGGGATACGACGGGATCCCGGGCTGCGACTCACCGGTGCGGTTGACACGGCATGGAAAGCGGTAGGTGCTCAGCACCTCCTCCTCGTCCTGCTCGTCGATGACCCGGCACTGGCGCAGATACGGCGTGAGCTTGGCCGGGTTCAGGGCGCGCGTCAACCGGTGCCGGACACCCTCGATCCGCTCCCACAGCGCGTCCTCCTCCGCCTCGGACCCTGAGCCGGCCCCGGCCTCCTCCTCGGCCTCCCCAGCCTCAGCCCGGCCCAGCATGGCTGCGTCCTCGGGGTCTGTAGGAAAGAGGGGCGTGGGGTAGGTTAGCAGGGGCGCTCTTCCCCCGGGTAGTTGGGGAGGGGGCCGGGTGCGCCTGCCGACCCCAGCTCCGGGCGTCGCCTGCAGGCTCCGCCGCCGCCGGGGCCCCTTCTCCGCACCGCCCCGCGACCGACTCTCACCGTTCGCGCCGCCGCCGCCTCGGGCTCCCCGGTCAGCGCTCGGGCGGCGGCTCCGGCGGCGCAGGGGGGCGGCGCCCTCGGGGCCCCCGGCTCCGCCCCCGGCTCCGTCCGCTTCGCAGAGGCCTTGGCCGTGGCCGCCGCCGGGGCTGCCCGGGCCCCCCCACATCACCGCGGCGGCCCGGACAGACAGTGTCCGACCGGCCAGCCGCCCCGCACGTCCGCCCGCACGCCCTCCTCCCGGCCGTCCGGCCGCGCGCCTCCCCCTTGCTTCCTGTTTCCCGCCGGCGCTCCCGGCCTGGCGCGGCGGGGTCCGGGCGGCCAGCCCACACCTGCCCGGCCTCGGGGCAGGGCGGGTCGGACAGGCAACTTCGTAGAGCCCACGCCTGTGGGCTCCGCACGCCCACCGCGCGCTTAGCCCCGCAGAGTCGCGACCCGGCGCAGCATACAGCCTGGCCCGCGACGGCCCCAGGGGGCACCTCCACCTCACGCAGCGTCACCCCCCAACGAACTCTGAATAGATGCCACACACCGGCCCACAGCCCTGTGGACCACCGGAAAGGACCCGAGGTGAGAGCGGCGAGGGCTTCGAACCTTCCAGCGCCTTGTAGTCGTGGGCAGCTGTGACGCTCAACTCAGGACAGCCCCTGGGTGGGCAGCCAAGGGCACGGACGCCTGCTCAGAGATAGACCATTCCAACTTAAGTCCTACCATAGGTGGGGACAGGGAATCCCTCAGGTTTCCAAAGGTGTTCCCCAGGATGCATGCTTAAGGGTGTGATTAAAAGCCAAGGAGGGGTGGTGGTTGGCACAAAGTGCACCTGGTGGCCTGTGGTTGGTGTTGGCCCATCAGAGTTCATGGGTTCGATTCCCGATTCCGGTTCCTGGCTCCGGCTGCCAGCTCACGCAGCCTATGGAAGGCACCTGTGATGGCTCACGTTTTGAGGTTCCTGTCCCTCCCCCTCAGTTCCATGGGAGACAACTTCAAGTTCCCAACTCCTCACATGCGGGTATGTGGAGAGCAAATCAGTGACGGGGAGTTCCCTTGTGCTGGCTCTCTTTCTCTTGCGTGTTAAATCAAAATAAGCTTGTGGGGGAACTCTATATGACCCTCGTGGGTAGACCAAGATGAAGCTTCCTGCTCCTGGCTTCCACCTAGCCAGCGCAGCCATTTGGGAAGTGAACAGGCACATGAAGGGAACTCTCCTCTCTCTCTACCACTTTTCTCTCAGTAACCTTACCTCTCAAATAAAAACGAAGCCTTTGAGACAAACAAAATAAATAAATAAATAAATAACTACGTGTGGATCCCACTTTTGCACACCTGTCCAGGTGTGTGGGAATTGCTGCGTCCATACGGCACCCTCGCTGGGAAACAGGCGGTCCCTTAGCAGGCTGACATCTGAGTCTACCCAGCTCTGATCCTACACCGGAATCTGCCACAGATGCCAGGCTCCGGGGGCATGGGGAAGGGCAAGTACAGCTGGCTGGAAAGAGACAAGCTCCTGAGCTGCCCCCTGCACCTTCTGAATCCAGTACTTGGGCCATGTGTGTTAACTTCTCCAAATGAAAAATAGTCATAATAAAGTTTTCAATCCGAAAGCCAGAGCGAGGCTGATTCAGCTCCCTGGAACCTGTGTGCCTTTAAAACCAGACTTGCTCTTCTGTTGTTACAATTGTTGCTCACTCATCTTCTGTTGTTACAATTGTTGCTCATTCGTCTTTGTTTGGGCGGCACCTGTTTATATGCAGCACAAACGCTCAGGGATGAGGGAGTTCCAGCACAGATCTGTCCAGGAGTGCCAGAGGGACTTGCCCACACTCACACAGCCAGGCAGCCCTGGGCAGGAGGCTGGAGCCAGGACGCCTGGCCTCTCTCCTCCCCCAGGCTCTGTGTCCAGGCACACAGCAGGCAGTCCTCCCTCCAACACACACACACCTTCCTCCCCTGTGGCCCCGGATGTCCCAGCCTCTCACCACCCTCCCAGCCAAAGCAGCTCCTCCCAGCAGCAGCCCTGGCTGGCTCATTGTGTTTGTAATTTGGCCGAGAGAACGAGATGGAAGCCTTGGAAAATGAGTCTGTGGTTAATGATTTTTCTCAGCGGAACAGCAGTGCAGCATGAGCAGGCACCCTGGAGATAAGGCATGGAAAACAAGATGTGGGGCAGATAAGCAGGTGGGGTGAGCATCTGGGGACCCCAGGGGCAGCCCCCGCATTCCAGGGAAAGTGGCACATGCTTATCACATTTGTGCACTCTCTCTCCTGCGTGCTCAAAGTGGGCATCAAGCCAGGCAGGCAGTGCCCCACCACCCACAACACCTCTTCATCCTGTCCATCCCAGAGGCACCTGCAACCCCGAGGGCATATGTCCCATCTGTGTCCTCCTGTGGGCTCTGCAGCTAAGCCAGGGCTGGAGCCAGTGCCAGGGCCTTGGATGCTATCCCAAGCTCCTGCACGCACGCACATTAGGGACTTTCTGCCCCAAGCAGGGAGTGTGTCATCCCTGCCACGCCTGGATAAGGAAACTGTGGGAGAGCAGGGCAGGTGCCCTGGAGACCCGCTTCGGCCAGCTTTCTCTGGGCCCCCGCCAGCCTGACCCTCTTCATGGAATGCTTCTCCCATGGCTGGTTGGATCTTCCTCAGGCCGGCAGGAGGGGTGGGGAGGTAGGAGCGGGGCCTCCAACTAGAGAGGTGCATGCACCCCTTAAGCCACTGCTCCTGACACCTCCCCAGCACCCACCTGTCTCTTGCTTCCACAGTAGAGTGGTTCTGGGTGTGATCAAGAGTGGTCTGGAGGGATAAAGAGGGAAACAGTGGAAGACAGAGAGGAGGGGAGGGGCAAGGGCCAGAAGACCTTGAAGGTCATCTTGGCGCCTTGACCTTGGTCATAATACTCCATGATCATGGCCTTCTCCAAACCATCCACCAGGTCCAAAGAGGCAAGAATCTCCTTTCGCATTCCTTCCTTCCGGGCCCTGCCCGCAGCACTTTCCCTGTTTCTCTTTTGTCCTGAATACATCCTGGGTATGTAGATCTGGAGTTCTATAGTGTGTACATGTGGGTGCAGCAGGACCCCAGGTTCTGCCCTCCACATCTGGGCTGCTCTCACCTCGGGTGGCTGTCTCAACCCTCAGAGCAGGGCTTGGATCCTACGGGCTGCCCAGAGCCTGCCACTGCAGCTGCTTCCTGAAAGGATGCGCCAGCACACCACGGTTTGCATCCCAGGCCCATCGCAGACTGGTGACCCTGGGCATAGCACTCACCAGGTGTGGCCATGGGAGCGCCCTCCAGCATCTGTCCTTTGGTTGTCTGTCCTGGATACAGCCCTGACAGCCTTGGCTTCGGGAGTCAAAGTTCTGACTCATCTCACCTCACAGAGATGCACACCTGCTTGGCCTGGGCCTGGCATGAGAACAGCTCTGGGGAGGGAAGCTGAGGCAGGGGCTGGGCTGGGCTGGGAGAGGCAAGGCTAGGGCTGCTGGAAACTGATGCTGAGTTTTCAAGTCATTTCTATGAGGTCGGTGCCACCTACCCTCACCACGGGTCTCCTCGGTGCCTCTCTGCACACAGGGTGGTGGCAGCCAGATGCTCTGGACCTTGAAGGGGGAGGCAGGACATAGGAGGGATATCCCAGGAGTTGCCATGGGAACCCTGGACCTCATTCACATCCCCAGCAGCAAAGGCATCCCAAAGGACATTTCCAGCAGCAGCCTGGGAATGCAGCCTGGGGCCCGGGATTCCAGAGAAAAGTGGGCAGGCCACAGGGCTGAGTCAGCAGGGAAGGGCAGGAGGGGCCGGAGGCAGCTCTGAGTCACGGGCTGGGAGGAGGGGACCCTGCCGGCTAATGTGCCTTTCTCTGCTGCCATCCTGGACCCAACCACGCATTCACCCAAGGTCAACTCTCCACCGTGTGGATCCCCAGGGCCATGACTCTGAAGTGCAGGCAGCCTCAACTGCAGCGACTTTAAGCACTGAGCCCTGTGACCGATGTCACTCAGGAGTTCGGTGCCCACCTGTTAAAGTGTTTTCCAGCCTTAGCAGCGTAAGTACTCTCTCTCTCTCTCTCTCTCTCTCTCTCTCTCTTCTTATTTTAAAGGCAGATTTACAAAGAGAGAAAGAAAAAAAAATTCTTCCATCCTCTGGTCACTCCCCCAAATGGCCACAATGGCCACAATGGCCACGCGGACTAGGCTGAAGCCAGGAGCCTAGAATTCCATCCGGGTCTTCCATGTAGGTGCAGGGGCCCAAGCACTTGTGTCATTCTCTACTGCTTTCCCAGGCATATTAGCAGGGGGCTGGACCAGCAGTGAACTGGCACTCATATGGGATGTTGGCATCACAGGTGGGGGGCTTCATCTACTATACCACAGCTTCAGCTCCCATAAATCTTAACAAGTCCACAAGTTAGCTCCCCTGGGAGCCCCAAGTTGCTGCCGTGTTCCCAGGGCGGCCCCAGGGACCTGGAAACTGGAGCAGTGACTCTGGGTGTTAAATTGAGGGGTGAGCAGCCGGACCAGCCCCGCCCCCCAACACACACCTCCCTGTTCTTGACAGCCCCAGAGCTGTTCTGAGAAAGACCAGAGAGAGACCACAGTTGAAGGTAAGCCAGGAGCAGGGAAGGACAGTCAGAACCAAGGTCATAGAGCCCCAGCTCCTGGGGCCGCTTCCTGAGTGCTCCTCCCCAACTGTAACTCGTACCTGCTCAAGTCCTGGTCACCAGGGCCTCCTGACTCAGACCCCCGAAGGGGAGAAGTGGGCAGGGCCTACCTGGAAGGAGGTGAATAATTGTCCCAGAGCTTGGCTGCCTGAAATGGAGTGAGTATTCCCTCTCACGCAAGC